TAGCTATAATAAAGTTATAAATTAGTAAAAACCTCAATTTCTCCAATAATTTAAGTACAATTGTCATAATATTGTTTGTTTTCTTAGTCCTACAATAAAAATTACAAATATTTTTAATGTTTTCATATAAATTGCATGCTCATTGGGTCGACCTGCCCCGACCCGCGACCCATGATCAATTACCCGACCTGGACCCGACCTGCCACGGGGCGGGTCTGGGTACCAAGAAACCCGCCCCGGACCTGCCCCATTGCCATTCCTACTGGAACAGAAAGGAGACTGAAATGGGATATCAATGAAAGAGAGCGAGAAACCTACCAGTTGCAGCTGGGATCTAAACCAGAGCTCAATTATTTATGCCTTCTTTGGAACTCGGCTCCTCTGGTTTCCCCTGTTTTCCTTGGCTTCGAGGGGCTTGTAGTCGCCGAATTCGCCGAAGACGTGGTCTCCTTCTAAGCTGCAATAAGGACACAGGAGGTACAGGAAGGGTTGGCCTATCAATTTAGCTGGGTACACATGGAAACTCAATAAGATAAAACTAAATATAAGCGAAGTAAATGATGGAAACAGAAATAGGTAATATGCAGATCAGACTACCAAATCCAATTGCGAATAGAGGAATTGCGGGCTTCCCTCAACCGCATATATATCAGACTAACAAATCTGACAGCGCGAAGCAACGGGGGCAAACAAACAGAAAAAATTACTGACTCCCCTTCAAATCGTCGGTTGGCTGGCAAGGGTTCAACGCAAAACTGCCTAATCCGGATTGAGAGAAGCAGCGGAGCAAACTAACCGAAACAATCTCGCCTCCCCTTCAAATCGGCGTTTGGCTAGAGAATTGTTCACCGCAAAACTACCAAATCCGATTGTTCGAATCAGCGGGGGTAAACAAATACCACAAATCATGACTCACCTTCGATTCGCCGGTTGGCTGGGGAATTCACCGTCAATTAGCCGGAGGTCTTCCTCGCTCAATTAGTTGTTCGCGCGCTCGTTCCAAACTGCAGAATCTCGGCAAGGTGAACTCCACATCAGCGAGCCGTCAATGCCTTCCTCCGCTGAGCAACAAGCGTCAGTCCCTGTTCCCAAAATTGTCCGCTGAGAAATGGATCTCTTGCCGTGCTGCGGGAAGGAGAAAGCAAAACGTAGATAATCCAGGAGAAAATGGAAGATGATTTCAGCCGCAAAAAAAGTAGTGGGAACCGACGGTTTCTTATCTCTCCTGTCAGGCGGGGATTTCTAATTTAATTCCGCGTAACCACCCTGCCACATCAGACTCCTAAAATCACTCTATGCGCAGGAAAATTTGAATGGGGGTTGCAGTTTTACTTTTCAGCTATAAATTATACTGTTGACTTCCTTAGCTACGAAAAAAAAAGAGAAAAAACTATAACCTAAATTACAGACTTATTTCCATTTTGGAGGAACATGCACGCCCAACCAATTATGGCCCCAAAATTGATGAGGTTGGTTGTTTCTCTAACTTCCACCACCCACGACTTCACAAACCCAGGAAGTCAGCCATTGATATCATGGTCTTCTAACTTTTTGGATTATGACCACACATAATTACGTTTCAAGCTTAATTAGCACATACACAGTGTGGGGTGCAAAATGGTTTGGTGGTCTAGCTCTCTTGCATATAACCATTAATTATGGTTAATCATAATCATCACTATCTTAATCAAAATCAGAGGACAATTATTACATTGAGGTAGTAATTGTGACTATCTTAAATTGTTGGAGGGCATCTTGTAACCTGTTCAACGTGGCAACAACCAACCAGCATTAAGCACACACACAATCATACGAATTTCTCACCCCCTCCCCTCAACTAAAAAATAATCCCCTATAATATCCTCTTTTATCAAAGAGGTCCAATTATTTTATTTTTCCTATTTTTGGCTTTAAACATTCAAGGAGGGACGGGTTAGCATGCTAACCCTTTAAGGGGTTGGTTTTTTGACACCCCCTTTTAATTGGTCAATTTTTCATTAAATATTGACAAGTATTAATGAAAGTAAACATAATAAGTGTTCTGTTATTAAATACAAAGTAAGCATTAAATACACCATATTAATTACCACTTTATTGGTATTTGTACCACTGCACTGATACTCAGATATGACATTGCTACCAGTGCACTTATATCGCTACCAATGCAGTGGTATATCTACCAGTACAGTGGTACAACGTATCAGTGCAGTGGTATATCTACCAGTACAGTGGTACAACGTATCAGTGCAGTGATATATCTATCAGTACAGTGGTACACCGTATCAGTGCAGTGGTATATTTTTTGGAGGTGGTCGGAGGGAGTCTGCTGATGGGATTTTCACCGAAGAAGTGTGGCGGTCGGAGACTGCTGAAAAAGGAAAAATAAAATATAGTGAGAGAATTCCTAATGTGTATTTAATGTGTGTATTTAATTCCTAATGTGTATTTAATAGTGAGAGAATTCCTAATTAATATGGTACATTTAATTCCTAATGTGGATTTAATGTGTGTATTAAATTCTATAGTTGTATTTAATATACTAGGGGAGTGTCATTTTTCCAACCCCTAAGGGGGGTTAGCATGCTAACCGACCCCCATTCAAGGATATTTGAAGTTCAATTGTTAGCTGTAACCTAATATCATAATTAGTAAAATACGATATGATAAAGTTACAAAAGTTACGTATAAAATATGTACGGGTATTTTATTTCATCTCTAAATTAAAGGTACGTTAAATAGTAATAAATATAAAATTAAGCATTTTATAAATATATAAATAATAGTAAAGTTAACAATTTAATTCATTAAATATAGATATTAAATGTGTTATAGGTTTTATACTTGTTTAATACGAGACCTATCAAATGAACGAAAATAAATAAAACGGCTTGACAATAATACTGATAAGAAAATTTTAAACAAATAAAATATGTACAGGTACATATACATTTTTTTATTGAAGGGAGGTATCAAACCAGGGAACAAATCATGCAAGCAAAAAGAATGGGACATACCACATTTACGCCAAAAGGAAAAGCGAGTACAGTCCCTCCCTCAAGCCTCTTACAAGCAGAACCACTAGAACATATACGTTTATTAGACGAAGTATTTAATAACTATGCTTAATAGTAATAACATCTTCTCATCACAATGGCGGAATCTGGAAATATGATAATTGGTATCTCTCTTTATAAACTATTAATTGTTATATAAAAATAAGTATGACAATGTATAAGTTTAATATCCTCCTTACGCAATTCATAAAAAAAACCCAAATATTTGATTATATAAGTCATATTTCAAAAGAAACGTAGTGTTAGAACTCTTTTTTTTTTTTCCAAGTAATGACAAGAGAAAAAATAGTTAGAAACCTCTACCCAAAACCCCACCCAAAGCAACACTTAGTGAAGCCACCCTACAAAATTAAAGGACGCTACCTCTAAAGAGGACAACAACAGAGCTTTAGGTGCCACTCTATGGGCAGCTCAGTTGGCAGTCCGCAGAACCACCCTAAAAACTATACAAAGAGAGCTTGAAACTAGGAGCCGATGACACTCTTGGAGTAGTGAGCCGCCTATCGAATCTTCCACTGTTCTACGGTCCAGATGCCGAATCACCACTTCAGGATCACCTAGCAGCAAGGTGCTTTGCTAGATAGGGATCGAAAACTCCTTGGTGCTGAGATCCCAGGCCAGTAGAACTTGCCCGTCTGTCCCATGTATGACGAAGCCAGACGAGCAACCGGAACGACAAACAGCAGCATCAAATAAGATCTACACAAAGTCTGGAGGCGGGCGATGCAGAACGGAAGGAGGAGAGGGCACAAGACTGAGAGAGAGGTCCCGGGGACTGAAAGGCTAAGGAAAATTCAATGACTTGGAAATGGAATTGACGGGCAAGAGAACGGGCGTGTGGCTGAGTATATTCAAAAACCACTTTGTTAAGAGATTTCCAGATTCTCCAAAAAAGGCAAACGTATGGGAGAATGTGGGTTTGGAAGTTTACTGAAAACATAACATTGTCACCACCATATACTAAAGTTCGAAATTTGGGCGGAAGCAAGCAAATCACTTAATCCCACTAAAAGTCCATAGCATGATGACAAGAGGGCAATGAAAGAACAAATGTTCAATAATCTCTTGATATTCGCAACAATCTAGATATTTGAGAAAGCAATTTACTTCATGAAATTGAAGAGCCACCATAGTTTGCAATGTCGTTTAACATAATACAAATACAATTTAAAATAATACAAACCATTCTTAGTGGAAAGCCATATCCGCTAATCACCCACTCTTCAACTTTGTCGTGATTTATTAACCCTAATTAATTTTCTAACAAAAAAATTGGTCATAACATTTGGCAAGAAACCAAAAATTGAGTTTTAGAATTCACATTCTACTGCCAATGGGCCTCAAATTAGAATGAATTGAAGGAAATGTCATCAATTCTAATAAATTGAGCTAATGGCTCATTAAGTTAATTGTAAACACAAAAGGAATCGGAATTAATTATTAATTAATGACGTTTTTAACCACAGCCCGAAATAATGGGCGTCTTTCAATCCGATGAGTAAATGCTCATAAAATTCCAATGGACGAAGCTTTTCCAATGAGGAAAAAGTTTGCGCCAGTGATACTTTGAAAGCCATAAATTAATTCTGAAAGTCATAAATTAATTCTTTCTATCCCATAATTTGAAATATAAACCAACCATAAAGGTCGTAGAGCGCCATAAAAGGATCGCTTTAGTGACTCATTAATCACTTGTAACGGATCATTAAAGACCCAATAACATCAAATAACATAAATGATGTATTAAAACCAAATAGGGCGAAACTGACCAATGGGGCCATTAATTGGTTCTTTATTTCTCGCCTGAGGAAAATTGATTGCAGGGACCGCCGGACCAACAAAGTCGCCGGAGGCCAGTGTTTCCAGCTTTATCGCCACCGCCGCCTCCGGAACCAATCTTCTCCGCCGCGAAGGCCTTCCTCTTCTTCACGGCAGCAGCGTAGCTCTTCCCATGGAAATCAACAAAGAGCGCCAGAAGCGAAGCATTGAAAACGGCATTGAAGCACCACCCCACATACCGGAGCACCCGCCGCCGGCGAAATGGTAGTACAGCATCAGCCCGGTGATACAGAAGCTGAATACGAACTGCACGATCTGGAAATCCGTCACCACCCTCTTCCGCTTACCTGATGCAGATCTAGATAGCCGGAGAAGAGAGCTCCGAGTATGGACGGATCCCGATCCGGATTCTTCCCTCCGATAATGATGCTTGTTATACTATTTTTCGCATATTTGGAGGTTAATGCCAAAATAGAAAAGCAAAGAACAGAGAAGAAAAACAGAAACGAACTGAAGTAAAAAGGTTTTCGGACTCTCCACCACTGATTTGCTCTTCCATGAAAACGAATTGGCTGGCGAGCAAGAAAACGTGGGACGCCGCGGCGGCATTGATCCCGTCCTTGTTGTCGCCGTTGAGTAACCCCTCGCAGATAGTGATGGCAATGGGGCGGGGCGGGGCGGGTACCTCAATTCCCATGCCCCGCCCCACGCTACTACGGGTCGGGGCGGGTAAAACCCGCGCGGGTACGGGGCGGTGCGGGTCGACCCACTCTTACATGTTGTTCAAAAAAAATACAAGTAAATTTTACTTTTTACAATAAAACGTAGGGAAAAACACTTTAAGAATGAAAAATATTGATAATAAAATGGATAATTGAGCCTAACAAGTTGAAAGATCGACTCTAACTAGTTGAAGAAAAGTCAAAATAGGAGAATATGTATTGATATTGTAAGAAATTGAGATAAAATTAGTCTAGAACGGGGCGGAGCGGGGCAGGGCGGGTCGGAAGTAGATACCCATGCCCCGCCCCACGCTACTGCGGGTCGGGTAATACCCGCCCCATCGCGGGTCAGGTCGGGTAATACCCGCGGGGCGGGTTGAAATTGCCATCACTACTCGCAGATGTAGGCGACGGGGAGGAAGATCCCGAGGAGGGCGCTGACGAAGACGTAGAGGCGGAGGGTTTTGGATTTGGTGTCGAGGATCTTGTTGTTGCCGCCGCCCGGCTTTTGCTGCTGCTGCGGCGGCGGGGGTGGGAGCGGGGGGAAGGCGAATCGGGAGAGGAGGAAGATAGGTGAAAATCCAATAAATCAAACAACTTATTCGTAGTGTTAGAACTCTGAGGCAAATTTGTTCCAATGTAGCACAATGCTAAGTTAACTACATACTCAACTAGAGATTAGGGATTATGAGACCAGAGGGTTGGATATATCATATATGATGTTAAGGTAGTAATGAGTATAGATTATGGTTTCTGGGGAAAATGAGTTGCAGCATATTTGGCAAAATTCATTTTATTAGTTCGAGGTCTAATGTTGAAATATAGAATAAATAGTTTCGTCAAATTTAAGGAGTGTGTTGCCAACTACTTGTCATGCTCGTGTCTACTTATGTATGTACATTTCTTGAAGCAATTATTAACATATCTCGACATCGAGTTCGTGGATCTCAATAGTGGCACAACGCAAATCTAAGTAAGAGGGTCAAAGAAAAGAAACTTAAGGGATCCAAACGCTGGTTACCTTGTGAAGGAGTCAATAATCTTACCAATTGTCTCACTTTTCATATTTTTTTACGAGGGTTGCATATACATTTAACTATCGTTTGACCATGTTACTTTGTGAGTAATTCTGCCACTGAATTTAAAATTAAAAATATCATAAAATATGATAGATCATCGTAACCAAACAATTCCTTCATATATTCATTACGCATCAATAGTGTAAATCAGAACAATTAAGCCACATCCATATCATAGGAAACTCAGAGCATGCCATCCCTAGGCCCTAGCCACCTTATTCCTCTCCTTCAATGGAGTATGACATTGTGTAGAACATTGTGAATGTTAGTTGAACCAATAAAAAGACCAAAGGAAACAAAATAGGACCTACCATGTGAGATTAAATTGAATAAGGAGACTCTGGTGGTGAGTCTTATGATTTTCTGCATCTTCTTTCTTTGACAACATTAGGGTATATAAGTGGTTCTGTAGCTTTAAATTGAAAATGAATGGTTGGGAATTTTTAGAGCACCTTTGGCAAACATGCATCCCCAATTGCCTTGCCTTTTACTACACCATGGACTTTTTGAGATGGTGGAGTACAAGCAAAATCCAGTTATCTCCTCTTCTTTCTTTTATGTTCTCTCACTGCCCATTAACACAAGAAGTGACTCAATAATGTGCATTGGGGTGATTCACGTAAACCTTATATCCTTAACTAATATAAGGATATTATATAGTCCACTTTCATGGATTAATTTTATAAAATGAATTGTCTTGAAAAATACTAACAATGCTTTGGATTTTTCAAGGTCACCTCACTTTTTGTTTACCTTCTCTACTTGTAAATAAATAGTTCCTAAGGTTTTCCTAGCTACGAGAGGAAAAAGGCAGACAGAAAATTTCATTTTTTTTATTGAAAAATTATCATTGACTCCAATGTATCATCTAAATTTCCTTACTGCCTATTCATGAAATTATAATTAAATTGCTAACATAATACCATTGAAATACAACATATTCGCCTAATCTATGGTTATTCGACTATATAATTTATGTACATGTGTTTGGATTGATGCATGATAGGAATTATTGTAGGAGGGTTGCCTCTAACTTTGAAAAATGATATGAGTCAGTATTTTCAAAATGCATAGTATCAGAGAAAAAATCAAAATTTTCAACCGCCATTTCAACAGCTACAAGAGGAAGCAGCTGGTCCGATGTCGTTTCAGGCAAAGCGAAGAGCGAGACACCTGAAACGATGCCGTCTCAACTAAACGGAACGAAGAAGGTCGAAACATCACCGTTGCTGACTACCAAAGCCAAAGAGAATCAAGACGTCGTCGTTGTGCCCTGAAGCCACAACGTCTCTTTCCTTTGTTCAGTTGTTGTTCCCTCCTTACTCTGCATTTCGTACTTCTTCTCTGTCAAGTTCACATCTAGTAATCTTTGTCATGTAATGCACAAACGATGTATATAAGCTCTATCAGAATCAATGAGAACACAAGTTTAGGGTTTCCAAGGCATACCTGTTGTTACATAGCAAGGCAACCACTTCAATTTTATTTATAAATCTTGTGTGAAAGAACCGTTGAAATCTATCACATATTCAGAATCTCCCTGCTAACGAGTGGAATGTTGACTGTGGACCTCCCTCTTGATTATTCTCCATAAATTACCGAAACAACCTCTATTCTTTTGTTTTCTTTCCCTGTGAAAATGACAAAATCCTCTGTTCTTCAATTGTGGTCCTTTTCTGATAATGCAATATATTTATTGAATAACTATTATGCCCAAGTTATATTTGGGTAGGCTCATTGATATTCTTGCTTTCTAAATTTTTACTTAGGATAAGTGACTTCAGTTCAGAATCATATCGAATTAGGATTTGAAAAATAAATAAAAATGAAGCTATAAAGTGACCAAAATACGTGTTTAAGATAACTCATGGATCAAAAGCAAATTTAAAATACTTACTATGGTTCGATGCATTTTAATTCGTATAATTCAATCAAGTGTGAACCACATCGTTCCCAGAGATGTTCATTGTTACTTACTCAAATTTTAACTTGACCGCATCCAAAATTTACTCAAATTTAATCCTTCCTTTATATTTAAGGTGATTCGTGGTTGAAGAAGACGAGAATTTACATGTATCTTCTTCTAAAACGTAGTAATTGGAAACCAACTCGTGTCTTGGTTTACCGTTTAATGTCTCGGCTTAAAATTTAACGTGATTGGCCTTACTTTATTTATCTCATCTAGCCGCTTGTGGAGTTGTTGGTTTATAAATTTTATATATAGATGCATGACTTCCGAATTAGATGACTTATTTGTTCATCAACAATTGTGATAGAGAGAAAAAAATTTATTTTTGATGTGAATTTTGAGATTATAACATCCAGCTCTCCTTATTTGATACTCGCTAAAACCTTATGATATTTTTAACGTCTTGACATTGAAAATTTCTCGCTTGATTTCTCTTTCGAGATCATATTTCTCCTTCGCAAGTATAACGACCAAACAAATCTCTTGTGATAAAATGAATTAGGGTTCTTTGACATTTCTTGTTTATCCGTCAATATGTTATTATTTTCATAATGAAAGATGATGAATTATGAAGTGAATTAGTTAGTAAATACTCCGTTTAATACACGTATATGTACCCGTACGTACTTTATCCGTTTAAAACTTCCGTATCCGTATTATTGTCAAGCCGTTTCATTTTTTTCCGTTCATTGGATGGCTCCCGTATTAAACACGTATAAAACCCGTATAACACGTTTAATATCCGTATTTAATGAATTAAATTGTGAACTTTACTATTATTTATATATTTATTTATTTTTAAAATAATTTATTTTTAAATATTTATTACTAATAACGTACTATTAAACGTACCTTTAACTTAGAGACGACGTAAAATACCCGTACGTATTTTTTACGTAACTTTCCCGTACCGTATTTTACTAACTATAGAAGTGATATAGGGGGTTGGGGAAGTGGGATAGAATGGTAATTAAGGAAAGAAGGACTCAATTATGGGCAGAAGAAAAGAACAGATTTTCGTTAAAAGAGATATTGAAATCAAAATAAGGAAAAGGGATTTTGTCTGAACTATCAAACGGAATGCTAAAGACATCAAAAAAGCAAAATTCGAAAAAAAGGAAAAGAAAAACACAAAAGAAACCAAGCGTAAGCAAGCAAACACACAACAAACGAACACTGGCAGAGCCAATTTAGCCAAAACCTCAAACGCTCTCTGCTCTTGCCCCTCCACTGTACTTCACAAAGCTCACACACGGCCCCTTCTAGAGAGAGAGAGAGAGAGAGAGAGAGAGAGGGGAGAGAAAGCAAAGCAAAGCAAAGCAAAAGAACAACCAGAAGGGAAGAAAACCCCATCACTCCGATACAGTTCCAAGCTGCTTGAGGGTTCTCTGATTTCTTTTAGGGGGTTGGTTCTCTTCCCATTTCTCTCACCAACAAACAATCCGCAAAAACCCACTAGGAAAGGTGAAGTCTTTCCTTTCCCCTCCCACCGGATTGAAAAAACCACGAAATGCAGGTTCCCTTTTGAAAGAACGACTCAACGAAGGATCTCCCAAGATCTCTCTCATTCTCATCCGAAGTAATGCTTTGACCCACATTTCCTTTCAAAATTCCGGATTTGTTTGGTGAAGTCATTTCCTTTTTCCGCCCTTTTGCATTCGAAGTTTGTGCCTTTTGATTTCTGCTAGTAGTGGGTGCTTTCCCACCCTTCTGTTTGCTCGGTTTCGGTATTTGAATTTGGTCCTTACGGTCGCTTAAGCAAGAGCGCATTTGCTTTCTAGTTATTTGCATTCTGGGGTTTCGGTTTGATGACCAGTCAGATCTGGGCTATGATTGGTTGCTCTGTATCGACTTCTCTCTTTTCATTTGGTAAAGTTGTAGGCTTTAGATCCGTCCGTTTAGGATTTTGCTGAGCATTCCCGCACTTCGCACTCGCGGTATTGTCCTAGTTGCAATATGGATGTCTATATTACTGGTAGCTCTGAAACCTGATCATGAATGATTTGGACGATCTGTAGACTCTTTGTGCAGGAGTGAATATGTGTATGGTGGGACTAAGAACTGAACCGGTGGCTTAAGCTTATTTGAAAGAAGGAAATGGGGCCTGATACATCTCTTGATTATGCTGTGTTTCAACTGTCGCCGAGGCACTCGCGGTGAGTATAATCTGTGTGGGGTTTTCTTCTTCTAATGCCTTTTCGTGGGTTCTCATGCATTATTGTCCCTTTAATATTGTTTTGGCAGATGTGAGCTGTTTGTATCGAGGAATGGGACGACAGAGAAGCTTGCTTCAGGACTTGTTAAGCCATTTGTGACTCATTTGAAGGTTGCAGAAGAGCAGGTTGCACATGCAGTTAATTCGATTAAACTTGAAGCTGGAAATCACAGAAATGCTGAGACTTGGTTCACCAAAGGAACACTGGAGAGGTTTTCCTGCAGAACTGATTCTTTTTGTTCTTGATGATGCCATTTGTACTCTGATCGCAATCTATATTTTGATGTTATTTGCACTTCTATCCTTTTCAGGTTTGTGCGGTTTGTCAGCACACCTGAGGTTTTGGAGATGGTGAACACATTTGATGCTGAGATGTCGCAATTGGAAGGAGCTCGAAAAATATATTCTCAGGTAATAACCACAATCTGGTCTTGCACATTGTGTTTGGTATAGGCAAATGTTGCATTTTCACTGATTTAGTGCTTCCTCATTCAGGGGGGTGGAGGCCAAGTGTCTAGTTCAGGTTTGTATTCTTCTCCTGTTCTTGGCAACTTAGTTCCCTGAAGATCATATTTCCTTTGTCTGAAAGAAACAAAGATGCCATAATTTTTTCAGTATTTTTTATTTATTGACTTATGTTAATGCTTATCCCCAATAATAAAAACTTAGCGGTGGTTTGGTTTGCCTGATTTTTAAATTGGTGTATTGTGATCAATACATGTATAACATTATACATGTATTGTTGAATTTGGTTTATTGTAGATTACAACATCTGGTACTTGTGATTGTGTTTTCAATATTTAGAAGGGAAAGTCACTTTTAACAGAAATGCCACTTGTACCCCTTCTTGTCAATGAAAAGATAATTTTAAAGGTCAAAGTTGGAACAAAAAGGGACAACAATCTCAACTAAACAATCCAAAAGCTGAGATTGTACAATCATTCATTTTGAATGATTGTTTCTGTTATATCAAATCAAACATACATGTATTGTCTATACAAACGATGAATTATAAACAATGCTTTTAACAATCTCACTCAGACAACCACAAAACCAAACAACCCCTAAATCATCTTATGCTTTTCATTTTGAAAGTAATGGTTGGATTGCAGTAGGTTGTGGACATCTAGAACTTGCCATTTTCAGTTAAACAGAAGTATGTGGAAATGTTGCTACATCACTAAAGAGTCTGGTTTAGGTGTAACATGGTCTGATCTGGCGTACAGATTTTTTTGTAGCAAGGTATGTTTATTCTTTCCATGATAAGAAACAAGTAGAGGGTTGCTTAAAGCGCTCTCCCTTATGGTTATTATGATGAGAGTATCTAATGTAATTTCAAATGGTTCTGTCTTAAGCTTATTTCATAAATGTACAATACTATGAACAATTGGGATCAGGATCTCCTATTGTGGGAGAAAGGATTTCTCTATGTGCAGTGTCTGGGTTATATCCTATTCGTTGATAAGGATAAGGTGTGCCTGGTCGCAACTCATGCGAGATGAATTTATTAGGTACCGGAAAGAAAAGGACCCACTAGAGATGGAAGGTATTTGGTGGTTGGAACTACTTGGAAGTGTTTGCTGGTCAACATTCGTGGCACTATCTTGAAGAAGCATGTTTTAGATATACCATTGTGTTTTCTGAAACTTGAATCATTATCGTACTTCAGTTGCGACATTGCTTGCTTGAAAATGAGCAATGTCTTGGGAACTGTTGATAATAAGCCAGCCCTTGAGTGGTTCTGTGGAGGTTTTTACTAGGAAAAACAATAGAGCGCAAGGTAGTCTAGCCTATGGAACTTAATGACAAGAGCAAATTAGCCTCTCTGTCAGTCATACAATGGTGCTCTTGATGGCTGATAATTCATCAAATCTAAAGCTTGGTGTGGAAAGTCCATGGTATTGAACTATTGATAGAGATTTAAGAAAAAGTAAGATTAAGGGTCTTTGTCGTCAAACTAATTGGTAGTTTTGCATCTATAGGACTTCAATGATATTTTCATGTTCGCATCAATCACATCTATTATGTTGCTGAGATACAAAAGCTCTGTCCGATTTGCTCTCTTTCAATGTTTGCATCTTTAACTTTGTGACACTAGACATCTTGATCTTAATTTACACTGATATTTCTCTTGCACTATATTTTTTCGGCAATGTGCTTGTTTACCCTAACTGGTTGATTGATAAACTGTCCAGGTGAGGGTGGTACAGGTTCCGTGGAAGGAGCTGATGCAACAAAGTAAGTTTCCATGTCCCTGTTTTCTGTTTTCCATTCCGACATTTGTGGTTTTCAGCTGTGCTTGATTTATGTTTCTAAAGCACAGAAATAGTTGTAACATGAGTGTCTACCTTATTTCTTCATGCAGTCTCTTCTGAAAAATAAACTATTTTTGTGATTGTATTAGTCGAATGGGGTTTCTGTGTTTGTACAATCAGTGATGTTAATATTTCAGCTGAATTTGTTTTATATTGTCACCCTTTCCCCAGTGGTTTCCTAATGGCCATCTATGCAGGAAAGAGCTTTTGAGGGCAATAGATGTTCGGCTGAGCGCGGTTAGGCAGGATTTAGTTACAGCCTGTTCTCGTGCTTCAGCTGCTGGCTTCAACCCTGAGACTATATTGGAACTCCAGCTCTTTGCAGATTGCTTTGGGGCCTATCGTCTTAAGTAAGTACTTTGGTCACTCTTTGGAATTGTACCAAAATTATCTTTTCTCCCTTTTCTTTGTGCCTAGTTGTTCAGATTTTGCTTCCTTTTTCTAGTTTAAAGCCAAAAGAGTACACATATATTAGCCTTCTGATCCACTTGCAACTGCTTAACATTATCTTGTTGGCACTTGATTAGTTTATTTAGATTTCTTCAAATGGTTCCAATGGGAAAATGCCAAATCTAATACCACATGATTTGATCTTGATCTCTTCTTGTCCAATGCCTGGATATTGATTTGTGATAGGTTTATTGTTAGTTACTAGGCTGTTTTCTTTGGTTCAAGGGTCCATTCCCCCTGTACTTCCCACCACTTTTCCCTTTACAATTATTTTCTTAAACCTTACTTAAATAGAATAGAAAGAGGTCTGTCCTTTTTGTGCTGTATTACATCGCTTTTCTTTCTTTTCTTTTCCAGACATCACTAAACTTTTTGCTGTGTGCTGTTTGCAGCGAAGCTTGTACACAATATATCTCACTGTGCCAGAGACGAGTGGATTTGATCAATCAGTTGAAGCCACGTGTCGAGGATCAAGCTGTCCGGTCATCATGGGGATCAGACATGTCCATTGATGATTCCAATGATGATCCAAGTGGGTCCCACCAACCCTCTTTCCAAGGCAAACACCTTGCAGGACAAGAGCAAAGAAGCCTGGACACAACTATCCGATCTCAAGCTAGACAACAGACGTCTTCTTCCTCCCTTCCTGTACAGCATCAGAAAGAGAAGGAAGAAGAGAAGAAGGAAGGAGCTATTCCTGAGTCATCACCTGGACTACCAAGCCAACCTTCCAGGCGACTAAGCGTTCAAGACCGGATTAGCCTGTTTGAGAACAAGCAGAAGGAAAACTCTGGTGGCAAGTCAATATCTGTTGGAAAATCTGCTGAGTTAAGGAGATTATCCTCTGATGTGTCCTCTGCACCTGCGGCTGAAAAGGCTGTGCTGAAGAGATGGAGTGGAGCTAGTGATATGAGCATAGATACAGGCAATGACAGAAAGGATGGTAACAACACGGATAGCCCATTGTGCATACCCTCTTCATCATCTGCTGCATCCCTAGCCAAAGCTACCGTCTTTCCTTTCTCCTCCGAGGATAATAGCAAGGACCTGAAAGATTTACACGATCCTATTTCTGCTTCTGAATTGAAAGATCAGGGTGAGTTGCACACAATTAGTGTTGGAGGGAAGGGCCATGAGTTGGAGTTGAAGGATAATAAAGTTAACTGGAATGATCAAGGGGGGCCTCAGGCTGGGGCGGAGAATAACAGTTTTCGGGAGGTGAGATCAGGGGTCACATTCGGTAGGGCAGACAGTTTTGGTGGAGATAAAGATCCTGTGGTGATTGAAGGCAAGCCAAATCATTCGCGGCTTAGGGTGCCAGATAGTGAATTTGGGAAGAGAGTTGAAGACACCGAGGCAAAAGATCATCTCCCAAATCATTCACGGCCTAAGAGTCATGGTAGATCTCTTTCAGGGCAGTTTGAAGGTGGCTTAGGTGGGAGATCGAAGAACTTGTTGCTACATAAAGAGGTTGCAGGTGATCAGTCTGCATCTCAGCCTCAGTGGAGATCCTTTAACAGCAAAGCCGAGCGAGCAGGGAAGAAGGATTTTTCATATTCTGGGAGGGACTCAACAAAGGGGGAAAACCTTGAAGCACCAGCAACAGTGAAGATGCAAAAACCAGTTTTTAGTGGGGAAGAACAGATGAAGAAACTGGGGGATGGAAATGATGAGAGTTCTGTTCCTTTCGGAAGCAGCAAACCAATTAATTTTGGTAAAAGGACCCCGGACCCTCAGGAAAGTAACCTTTCTGCACAAGCATCATCTATTGAGCAATTTCAAAGGGTACGACAATCTAAAGGAAATCAGGAGCTGAATGATGAGCTGAAAATGAAGGCAAATGAACTTGAAAAGCTTTTCGCAGAACATAAACTTCGTGTTCCTGGGGATCAATCGAACCCCAACAGGAGAAACAAGCCTATAGAAATACAGATTGAACAACAGATGGCGACTTCGATTCAGAAAAGACCAGCAGCAGCAGCAGTGGAGAGTTCTCCTATACATTTTCAGATCAAGAAAGTGGAGCTTGAAGCAGTTGGAAATAGTGATACACTAGAGTTCAACACTCCACCTACAAAAATGTTAGATCAGCCAGACTATAGCAGCTCATTGAGAAGGAATTTCTCTGACCTCAGTTTTTCTGATGATTCTAGAGGAAAGTTCTATGAAACGTACATGAAGAAGAGAGATGCAAAACTGAGAGAAGAGTGGGGTACCAAAAGGGCAGAGAAGGAAGCTAAGTTGAAGGCCATGCATGATAGCCTTGATCGAAGTAGGGCCGAGATGAAATCTAAATTTTCAGCATCTGCTGATAAGCAGGATTCACGTGCTCGTCGACGTACTGAGAAGCTGAGATCATTCGCTGCTCATTCAAGCGCTAAGAAACAGCAGGTATATTATAATCTGTGTATTCAATTGTGGGGGATGAGCAGTGCTGAAGCTGAGAACTTTTAACAAGTGTCGACCTTTTCCCCCTATTGTTGCCCTGCTTTTCTTATTAGTCCTCTCTTGTATCACCAACACCTGTACCCTTCTCATTGAATGAGCTTCACTTTTTGACAGCTCCCTACCGACTTAATCCAAAGTGACGAGGATGAAGATCTCCCTGCCTATTCAGAACAGTTTTATGGGCAAGACAAATCATTTAATGAGGCAGCTGGTCAGAACAAAAAGTTCACACCAAACCGGAATGTGTCTTCATCGACTCGGATAGCTGCAGCAGCACCTGTTCCACGGTCAGCAGTGAAAAGTTCCAACCCGAGCTCTGGAAAGCGAAGAACACCATCTGAAAATCATCTTGCCCAGTCAGTTCCAAACTTCTCAGAATTCAGGAAGGAGAACACAAAGCCATTTCTTGGAGCTGGCAAGACTACAAACCGCTCTCAGGTGAGAAACTCTCGCAGCAAGAGCAATGGAGAAGATGTACCACTAACAAAAGAAGATAATAAGTCACGACGTTCTCAGGCTTTGAGGAAAAGTACTGCCGGTCCTCCTGAGTTGAAGGATTTGTCTCCTCTCACCACTGATGCCACTATTTTGGCCCCATTGAAATCTGATAAAGATCAGATTGAGTCAAAGACTTTCTTGAAGAAGGGGAATGGGATAGGTCCAGGTGCTGGACCAGGTATTGCAAAACTCCAAGCATCATCAGCTATCTCCGAGACTTTGAGAAGTGAAGATGAGTTTGAAGATTCTGCTTTTGAAATGGAGGATGATCCTGACGTTGCTAGGGATGTAGCAGAAGAGGAGCTTGAGACAACTGAGGTGGAAGAATGTGTGAATGTTGATAATAATGGTAAGTCAAGACTGAGTCATGAATCTGAGAAGATGGTTATGTCAGAATCAGACAACAGTGACCCTCAAAGATCTCAGCTCGATATTTCCTCAGTTGCTGAATTGCCTGCATCCGTGCCTTTGGCATTCGGTGCTGTAGAAGATTCACCTGCAGAAAGCCCTGTTTCATGGAACATGCACCCATTTTCTTATCAACATGAGACCTCAGATGTTGATGCTTTTGTGGATTCTCCAATGGGGAGCCCCGCATCATGGAACTCTCACTCCCTGTCTCAAGCAGAAGCAGATGCTGCTGCACGAATGAGAAAGAAGTGGGGGAGTGCTCAGAAACCTGTTCTTGTTAGTTCATCTAATAACCACTCCCGAAAAGATGTAACGAAAGGTTTCAAAAGGTTGATAAAGTTCGGAAGGAAAAGCCGTGGGGAGACTTTGGCTGACTGGATTTCTGCAACTACTTCTGAAGGAGATGATGATACAGAAGATGGGCGAGATCCTGCTAGTCGGTCGTCGGAAGACTTGAGGAAGTCGAGGATGGGATTTTCACACAGCCATCCTTCTGATGACGGCTTTAATGAAGGAGAATTATTCAATGAGCAAGGTAACTTGTAGACTGGAGCTGCCGGTATATATGTTCTAATTTCTCTTTCGGTGTGCTTGAAAGTTGGGCTGCATATGTGATGAATAAATTTTCCTATCCCCACCAAAAAAAAAAAAGAGAACTGATTTTTATATCTGGGGAAACCCTCATGTTACTACTGTACCCTTAGAGTTCTGCCGAGAAGTGGATGGAGGTGACTTACATCAGGAATATAACCGTAGAACACTGAATCTCTCATGCCTTGGTTCTTGCTTCCTGAAGTTTGTACATGAGCCTACATAGTGATGGGGTGTTTATTTTGATATGACTATCTATATACATGCTCTCTTTGGTTTCTCTCTACTTCCCTCTTGTTCTTTCTAATGTTATTTCGTGCCAACGCGTGGAACATGAGGTGATACTTCTCTTTATTTTGTTTTCCAGTTCAAGCCTTGCATACCTCCATTCCAGCACCTCCTGCCAACTTCAAATTGAGGGATGATCATGCTTCAGGAAGCGCAATTAAAGGTGACATCTTTTTTCTGCTGTACTTCTTTGCTTGTGATTGATCCTTTTGTCAAGAAGGGAACTTTGATCCAATCCCATGTTGGGCTTGTTCTATAGAGACTTTGCCCTGACCATTAGGATTCCGCATAGAGATTAACACGGTTATGACTTCCATACGATATTGATCTGAGCTTATGTTATGTGTGATGCTTAGTAGTAGTGTTAGCTAAACTCAAGACTGAGTTTATCAGTCATTATGAAAACTCTACTAACCCGCAAACTCACAATTGTTGCAGCTCCACGGTCATTCTTTTCTCTTTCAAACTTCCGTAGCAAGGGAGGGGATTCAAAGACACGTTAATAAGACAGCCATTGGTTGGAGGGTTGGTCCAGCCCAGGAGAACCTTCATGCAGCAAATATGATGTAAAGAATGAATGGTTGGTACAAGAAGAGAACACAGAGGATGGATGATACAGAGGGAAGAAATGCCAATTTTTGGTGGTGAAATGTGTTGTATATTGTAATCTGAACTGGAGAGATCCCCGCCTATTTGGCCAAGTCTTGTGATTTTTGACAGTCTTCTAGGAGCATTCTTTTCCAACGTTTTTCTACTACTACCATGATTTCATTATCAGTTCTTTGTCCAGCGTTTGTGTGATCAAGATAAGATGTATGTGAGTTTGTCAACTCTGTGTTTAGATAATAACTATATATGGACCTTGATGGTGGCATTGGAGCAGCAACTAACTAACACAATTTTTCAGAGGAAAAGCTTCGGTAATTATCCGAAATGTTATGTCTCCTAGCTTTATCGATGCATTACTATGATGCAACTTTCATCTAAATGGACTCGTAAGATTCTACTTCATTTCTGGCCTAGGTAATCAAAATCTGTATCCAATCTCCAGTGGCATACTAGTTTCATCATTCTCAGATTTTCCCTAGGAATAGAAAGAAGGCTATTGTGCTCTAGAAGCAGGCCAACCACAAAGGAACGATAGGAAGTTTGGAATGAGATTAAAAAGAGTGGTGGAAATGGGGATAAAACATTGATAAGACCTCACCGTCATTTCCCAATGGCGAGAAAGGACACAAGAAACAAAGTGGCAATGACAATGGCAATGGCCAGCAGCAAGACAAATTCACTACCATCCAAATAGTCAAATAATCTCTTCACTCCGTAAATGGTTAGTTGGTTATCGGTTTTAATTTATAATCAAATGGATAACAAATGTTAGTGGTTAATTAATAACCATTAATTTCTTAGTGATTCTATTTCAGTTAATTGGATTTTACTTAGTGGTTAACTGATAAAAAAACCGATGACCACCTACTAGTATAACGTACATAGTTTTGGACTTTGGTTAAGAGAAAAGTGTCAAAGTTCAAAACCAACCAAAGTCGCAATTCCAAACTCTCAATGCACACCTATTGTAAACAACCCTCCATTCAAAGTCTAACATATATTTAAGAGTGAGAACTCGAAAATCACTTCTCTCTAATTCCCATTAGTAGTCGACAGAGCGATCCTCGCACTCTAATAGTGTTTGTTTCCTTGATGTGTTGTGAATGATATTTTTTTTGGGAGAAAATGTGTTGTGAATGGTGATGATCTTGTGGTGCTTGTGTCTTGGTAGAAGAGGTTTGATTATTTGTAATTTATGTGTTGGAATTTGTATTTTGAATTCATGATAGATTATGTATTGCATAATTTGCATTGTTGTTATTTTTTACAACAATGATTTTATGTTAACGACATAGAAGTGTAGTTAAATTATTCTGAATTATTTGTATGATTATATTTTATTATTAAAAAGGACACCATACAAAATTTTAAAAATAACAAAAGAAAAAATGCCACATGTAGAGTTTTGTTATTGGTTAGTAGGGGTGTGCAACGGACCAAATGCGGTTCGGCCCGGACCGGACCAAACTCATGAGAACCGCGGTCCATTAGTGAAAGACATGTTAAGACCAAGGACCGGACCATTCTTGTATTTGGTCCGGTTCGGTCCGGTCCAAATATGAGCTCGGTCCACCATTTCTTCAGTAATTATAAAATTCACGAGGACCAAGGACCGGACCGCATTTTACTCGGTCTGGTTCGGTCTAGTCTTAACAACGGTTTGGTCCGGTGTGGTCTGGTACGGACCGGACCATTGCACACCCCTATTGGTTAGTGATTAACCGTCAAATTGAACGCTAAATGAACAAGTAACATGCGACTAACCCAATAAGAATTCTTATTGCTTTGATTTTCGATATGCATTTTTATTTAATGGACGTCAACCACTAAACACCAAATAAGCTAGTCATTAATCAAAACCGAACCGATTATCACCCTTACTTCCCCTTCCATTAAGTCATCACCCACAAGCTCTAAAACACAAGCCAAGTTAATTGTGGAAAGAATCTGGAGGCAATGGGCGAAAGAAACCATGTGAAGAAAACGGGGGCCTCTGTTTTTTGCTCTGCATACGCCAAGCGCCAAATGGACAAGAAATGAAGGAATTGTTGCTTATAGATAGTTACAGATGATGATTACACCAGTTAAACTACAGTTTAACATTGATTAATTAACGTATAATATTAGATGGACTTTGGGTTCGCCGACTCCTCTCTTGTCTTAATCCCCTCGTAGCCTCTTCTTTCGTTGTTGAGGGTTCGGTAATTTTTAACGTTTTCCAATCCAATGTAGCATCAGGATTGGGAATCGCAGCATATTTGCAGGCTTGACCTTGCATTGTATTTCTCCCCTGCCCCCAGCCAATTAGGAGAAAGAAACAAGAAGTACCCGCGCTTTTTCCTTCTTCTGTAGATTCCCATGTTGTTGTTAGCCGTTTCCCATGCAAACAACTGAGCTCCTCAGTCCTAACCCTAGCCTAGTTAGATTCCCCTGGTGCAAACCTTATACCTGAGATAATAACAATGTATTGAACTGTGTAGTTGGATTCAATGTATTGAACTGTGTAGTTGGATTCCCCCTGTAGAAGGATTGAGAAATCGTACCGTGCAAGAGACTCGACCGGAAAAACTTTCTTCCGTGGGCTAAATCGGTAGGCGGTATCCAGTGGTATGGAAATGGTTGCATCACGATTTCAGCACAAAATACACTATCGATGGTTTTTTCGGTACAACCTCCGATACGGTTTTACAATCCTTGTTGCTCGATAGTACGATATCGATTTGGGTTAAAATTAGGGGGTGTGCAATGGTCCGCCGGACCAACCGAAGTTTGGACTGGACTGTACTGGACCGAGTATAATGCGGTCCGGTCCTTGGTCCACATAGATTTCACAATTACTGAAGAAATGATGAACCGTACTGATATTTGGACCGGACCGAACCGGACCAAATGGACTGAATGCAATGGTGATCAGGTCTTTGGTCCTAACCTGTCTTTCACTAATGGACCGCGATTCTAATGAGTTTGGTCCGGTCCGGATCAGACTGAACAGTTGCACACCCCTGGTTAAAATAAACGGTTCAACTATTACAATAGATACTTATAATTCCATCTCGAAAATACGGTACTGATGATCAAATTTGATTCTTATGTTTAAGACAAAGGAAGAAAATTTGATTATCGCTAATTTGATGATCATGGTACTCTTAGTTTGTCATAACTTCTGTTTTTTTTTCTTTTCTATAGAGTTGCAGAAATTGCGCTAGTTTAAAATCTGTAATCATATCTTTGTCAAAAACTTTGTAGGTATGTCATCGTCAATGCTCACACACATATATTTATGTCGAGAAGCAAATACATCAAAATAATTAATGAATGATTGGGGGGATAAGTTGAAAATTACTCAACGATGCTTGCTGCTACATTAAACAAGCAAATCGAAGCCTATATAACCTATGAATATTTGCTTAATTCTAACGAGTGTGTACCAAATTAAAGATTGTACAGGAATAGTTAGTGGTAAAGTATTTTGTGCTGAAATTGTGGTTTAAACATAAATTTAACCGTTTCACACAGCTAAAAACCACCTACCATACTAAGGTTCCAGTAGAAAGTTTATCCGACAGACGGTCAATACCGTACTGTTTCACAAACGCTACTTATTCTTTTTTGTCCTGGTTTTTACACAACTAGTCACTGTATTTTTTCCAACAATTATATTGATACTTGATTGTATTATGTGACTCGAATAGAGGGTTAGGAGGACATACTGAAAAGTTACTAAATTCGAACTCGTTGGCTATAACAATTTATCGCTAATAATGCTACAACATAAAACATATCGGTCGGTTTGTCATCCATGGCATGTCACATGGATAACAGGATAAGGATAAGTTCATGGTAATACGAAAAGATAGAACAAGTCAGCTTTGTTATGTTTAAGGACCTGATGAAAAATTGTTCATATTTGCTTGGCAACATTATTAACAATCCACACATATATGCACGTTGAATGTATAAGTTGACAGCCGGCCGGCCTTTGTCCCCCCTTCATTCATCTCCCATTGGGCCATTTGGTTCCATATGTCTCATTTGCATCTCCACCATTACCGAATCAGCATTGCTGATATATAATTACCTCTAAATTTCTTTGGATTTTCATCCACATATAGAGAGACGGCCAAAAATCAATGTTCTAAATGCCCAAAATAACTGTGCACGAAAATATACAAATAGATACCTGCAGCAGGCAACACAATCGCAAAGCAGAGAGTGAAAAATAGGAGATGTGACATAAGGGAACGAATACGTACTTGCATGGTGTAATGCCACGAGTCTCGTCGTTGAAAGATGAATCACAAGCAAGCGAACATTTGCAAGAAAAACACTCCCAATAGTATGAGCAGAGCAGTATCCCTATTGTTTACTGTTGAAAGACAAAAGCAAAAGAACGAGATCATGCAAATTTAACAAAATAGCGTATCAACCGGTAATAAAACAACACCGAGGGCATGATTTCTTCTTCTTCTTTCTATCCTTTGAAAGGCGAAAGCAATAGAATGAGCCTTCCAAAGACCAACAAACAAAATAGCGCCCTAAATTGACCCTGTATTAGGTCCATTATTAAAATGAGACACAACTAATACTCTGATGCAACCAATGTTCTAATAGGAACAAAGCATTTGGCTGATATTTAGGTATCACTTAGCTATACTTATTCACCATGGGGACTAGATTGTACATATTAGAAAAGTTCGGCACCCAAAATATTATTCATAACGTCCCAATCATTAGTGTCTCCACCAAAGTTCGGCACCCCCAAATCCACTCTTTATTAATACTTTGTAGTTACTAGTTAGCTTAGTAGTAATTGCTAATTACTTCTTCTAATCTAATCTCCAATGGGTTTGTTTCTTATATATCCTCCCACTTCTATATCAATCTCCTGATCATAAGAACTTAAACCCCACCACCCACCATTACCCGCTAATTAACCATCCATGGCGGATTCCTCCCCGTACCACCGCTCTCCAAACAACAATGGCCGTCCCCGGCCGGCCCGCCGCCGCCGCGGCGGTGACATTCCCCCACCCTCTCCGTTGTCCCGTTCCTTCGCACTCTTCAGCTCCACCGACATGTCCATCGTCGCCCCCAGCGGCAGCTTCACCCCAACCCGCCGCCGCCGCCACCCTCCGCCGAACACAGCCTTCGCCGCCGACGGCGACGTGTCATGGCAGGGCGAGGTGTCGTGGCAGTACCAGCCCACGGGCTACATGAACGACAGCCGAAGCTTCGGCGCAATTTTGAGCCCATGGGCCGGTGCTACACCTGCGGCCCACCGGGCCATGCGGAGATCGGCCCAGGACTTTTATCTCTCTCGCACCCGCGGCGGGCCCGGAAACGGGCAGAGCTCCTCGTACTACGATCGCTCCGGCATTAGTGCCAGCGGACGGCTTCCCTTGCAGAGCTACAAAGACGGCGGCGACTACGCCGAGGATAACAACAGTCTCATCGTTAATGTCAGAGATTACGACCTGCCGCCTATCCCGCCGCCGCCTCCGTATGTTCAGGAGGTTTCTCCTCAATCGAGGCAGCTGGAAGCCATCAGGGAGCGGCAGAGTAGGGAAGGCAGCATCGACGTCGATTTCGCCGCCGGAAAAAATCGTGGAGATCGGAGAGAATCGAGGTGGAATTCAGTTTCCAACGCTTACGCTGATGTGCCGATTAGCCCCGGGATTCCTGATCGGAGTTATGGAGATTTCGATCGGAGCGGCGGCGGAGGGGGTAAATACGAGGACGACGATTATGATTACGATGACGAGGAAGGAGAAGAGGAGGAGGAAGATGAAGAAGGAGGAAGGAAGCTGGTTGGATTGATCGGTTTGTTCAAGTACTCGAGTAAATGGGACGTGTTCCTTCTGTTTTTGGGCTGTGTGGGAGCTCTCATCAATGGCGGCGCTCTTCCTTGGTACTCTTTCCTGTTTGGCAACTTCGTCAACAAAATTGCAAAGGACACCAGCGATCAGATGATGGACGATGTTCGCGAGGTATTGCGCAATTCCCCTTTTTCCTTTGATTGATTGCTTTGTTCTTGACAACTCAGATATGCTTTGCAATGACGGTACTTTCAGTGGTGGTGATGTTTGGAGCATACGTAGGTGAGAAGGAGAAATATGAAAGCTTTTTTCCCTTGAGAGTTCCAAAGTTCTTTGCCTTCTATCCGATAAGCTAATTAATGGTTTTGTTGCGGAATTACCCAGAAATCACCTGTTTTAGATTGGTGGGAGACCGGTCAGCTCATCGAATAAGGACCAAGTATCTCCGAGCAGTTCTGAGACAGAACATTGGTTTCTTTGACACTGAAGTTGGCACAGGGGACATAATGCACGGAATTGCAAGTGATGTTGCACAGATCCAAGAAGTGATGGGGGAGAAGGTGATGAGTGTCCCTTTTCTGCCATATGCTCATTAACCAATGAAGCTTTTCATATTAATCCTGAAATGTTATTTCCAGATGGCGAATTTCGTTCAACAACTATTCACCTTCTTCTGTGGCTATGTCGTTGGATTCTTGAGATCATGGAAGGTATCTCTTGTGGTCTTCTCGGTCACCCCATTGATGATGTTCTGTGGCATTGCCTATAAGGCTGTCTATGTTGGCCTTGCTACAAAAGAAGAGGTATATGAACTAATCCATGAAACCTTGCTTCTTCTTCAAGCTAATGAGTCTCTTACCATACTTTTGGATGCTGCAATGGATAGGCTGCATATGTTAAAGCTGGCACTGTGGCTCAGCAAGCCATTAGCGCGATCAGAACTGTGTTCTCTTTTGTTGCTGAGGACAATTTGTCAGCTAAATATTCTGAGTTGTTGGCGAATTCTATTCCCATTGGAGCGAAGATTGGATTTGCGAAGGGGGCAGGAATGGGAGTCATTTACTTGGTTACATATTCCACATGGGCATTGGCTTTTTGGTATGGAGCAATCTTGGTCTCAAGAGGGGAGATCTCTGGAGGTGATGCTATTGCATGTTTCTTTGGAGTCAACCTAGGGGGAAGGTACGAAAAGACAACACTTCTCAATTACTCAAACAGTTGATATAAATAATACAAGTACAACCGAGTTTAGAGATTGAGTCTTCCTTCTCCTATGCAGAGGACTGGCTTTGTCGCTGTCATATTTTGCTCAGTTTGCACAAGGCACGGTAGCAGCAACACGTATATACGAAATCATAGACCGAGTTCCGGAGATCGACCCTTACAGTCCCGAAGGAAGAACATCATTGAGTACACGTGGAAGGATCGAGTTCAAAGGTGTCACCTTTGCTTATCCATCTCGTCCAGATGCTCTAATCCTGCGCTCCATCAATCTGGTTATCCCATCTTCAAAGACACTTGCCCTAGTTGGTGCTAGTGGAGGTGGGAAATCCACTATTTTCGCTCTTATAGAAAGGTTCTATGATCCAGTTTCAGGTTAGCTTTCATTTCAAAGCTAGTTGATGTTCCAGCTATGGAGTTGTGTTATTGGGGAAATCATTGAAAGTCTATGATGCAGGAGTGATTAGCTTGGATGGTCATGACTTGAGGACACTGCAGGTCAAGTGGCTTAGAAGTCAAATGGGAATGGTGGGACAAGAGCCAATCCTCTTTGCTACAAGCATTATGGAGAATGTTTTAATGGGGAAGGAGGATGCCACAGAGAGAGAAGCGATCAAAGCCTGTATTGCTGCGAATGCTCACGACTTTGTATCAGCTCTTCCGCAGGGCTACGACACTCAGGTATATGGATGATTCGAAGGTGCTATTTTCCATGCCTTGAAATGTTGTATATGTTTCATAAACTTAGTTTGAATCTAATCATAAAACCTCAAATTCACTTGACAGGTTGGCGACAGGGGAACACAGCTTTCAGGAGGACAGAAGCAGCGAATTGCATTAGCTCGCGCCATCCTCAAGGATCCCACCATCCTTCTCTTAGACGAACCCACAAGTGCACTAGACCCTGAATCTGAATCCGCAGTCCAGAAAACCATCGACAAGATCTCACTCGGAAGAACAACAATCGTCATTGCTCACAGACTAGCCACAGTGAAGAATTCCAACACCATTGTCGTCCTCGACCAAGGCTCCGTAGTCGAGATAGGCAATCACCGTCAGCTCATGGACAAAGCCGGCTGCTACTACGACCTCGTCAAGCTTGCCTCCCAAGGAGCCACATCGAAACATGCTGGCCTTGACACGGAGAAGTCGAAGGCTACGTACGAGAAGTCTGTTAGTGATGTCAAGGCCCAGTTTGAGAAATCTAGGTCTATGTCAAGGCCAGAGGATCCTGAAACAACAGCAACACAGCAAACTCGTAAACCGACGGAGAAGTTTAGACTTTCGGAGGTGTGGGCTCTTCAGAAGCCAGAGGCTATAGCACTTGCGCTTGGCTTCATTGGAGCTATCCTAGCTGGAGCTATCCTGTCCATATTCCCCTTCCTCCTAGGCCTAGCCCTTCAGGTCTACTTCGACGATGACCCTCCGAAGTTGAAGAAAGACGTTGGGAATCTCGCCTTAGTCATTCTTGGTCTCGGCGTTGGCTGCATTCTCACAATGACAAGCCAACAAGGCCTCTGCGGATTTGCCGGAACTAAACTGACGGTTCGAGTTCGAGAACTCCTGTTCCAATCCATTCTGAGACAAGAACCGGGTTGGTTCGACTCCGAAGAAAACTCCACAGCAGCACTCATCTCGAAACTATCAATCGATTGCGTCACTTTCCGATCAGCCCTCGGTGACCGATTCTCGGTCCTGTTCATGGGTCTAAGCTCAGCCGCCGTGGGCCTTGGTTTATCATTCTTCCTTCAATGGAAGCTCACTCTAGTGGCAGCAGTTCTAACCCCCTTCACTCTCGGCGCAAGCTACCTGAACTTGATCATTAACGTGGGTCCGAAGCTAGACAACGCAGCCTACACCCGAGCCAGCAACATCGCCTCAGGGGCTGTCTCCAACATCAGGACGGTGACTACGTTTGCATCTCAGGAACGGATAGTTCAGGCATTCGGACAAGCTCTTGCTGAGCCGAAGAAGAAGTCGGAGAAGAAGTCTCAAGTCTTGGGAGCCACGCTAGGTTTCTCTCAGGGTGCAATGTACTGTGCGTACACGTTGACACTCTTTTATGGGGCTTACTTGGTCGACAAGGGGGAGTCAAACTTTGGTGACGTGTACAAAATCTTTCTCATCCTTGTTCTGAGCTCATTCTCCGTCGGACAGCTGGCGGGGCTAGCTCCGGATACGTCCATGGCTGCGACAGCAATCCCGGCTGTGTTCAACATCATCTATCGTCGGCCTTCGATAGTAAACCCTCGAAAGGCAAAGAAGGTTGATCGATCCTCGAAGGGGTTGGATATCGAGCTGAAGATGGTGACATTTGCTTATCCTTCAAGGCCCGAGGTTACTGTGCTGAGGGACTTCTCATTGAAGGTTAAAGGTGGTAGCATGGTGGCTTTGGTAGGAGGAAGTGGTTCGGGGAAATCGACGGTCATATGGTTGGTGCAGAGGTTTTATGATCCTAATCAAGGAAAGGTGAAACTGGGAGGGGTGGATTTGAGGGATTTGGATATCAAGTGGTTGAGAAGGCAGACGGCATTGGTAGGGCAGGAGCCTGCTTTGTTTGCTGGAACAATAAGGGACAACATTGCGTTTGGAGAACCTAATGCTTCCTGGGCTGAGATCGAAGAGGCGGCGAAAGATGCTTATATCCATAAGTTCATCAGCAGTCTTCCTGAAGGCTACGATACTGAGGTATGCTAGGTCGTTCAAATTTCTCTATTTGTTTTGATGCTTTAGTTTTCTTAAAACCTGGTTTACTGTTCAATGTGACATATATAAACGAGTTGGGTGACCGAGTTGGTGTTCTTTAAGCCCATTTCTGGTCGGGTCAAATCACATTGGTCACTAAGCTCTTGGCACGAAATGGTAGTTAACCTGATCGATCTTACACATTGCTTGTTGACATTGTTGTCATGTCTACTCAACAGGTGGGTGAAAGTGGGTTCCAATTATCAGGAGGCCAGAAGCAGAGACTGGCAATTGCAAGGGCTATGCTGAAGAAATCGAGTGTGCTGCTGCTGGACGAAGCCAGCAGCGCGCTGGACTTGGAATCGGAGAAACACGTCCAGCAAGCACTCAGCAATGCCTCCAAACGAGCCACCACCATCGTCGTTGCCCATCGGCTCTCGACGATCAGAGAAGCTAACATGATCGCGGTGGTTCAAGATGGTTCGGTCGTCGAGCATGGCAATCATAACACGCTCCTGAGATCAAACCTCAATGGCGTCTATGCGAGCATGGTTCGTTCTGACGCAGAAGCAAGTGCGTTTGCTTGAGCACTAATATATGTTCTTTGGTGTAGAAGGACAACAATGTATAAATGGTGTTAAGGTTGTATTATTGTAAGCTGTAATCTTTTTGTCAAGTGATGTAGAGAAAATGTTATGAAAAGTACTTTTTTCTTCTTCTTCTTGGTGGTTAGGGAGGAAGTATTGAATAAATTTTGAATGGAGTAGAACATGAATATTGAATACATTATGCAGATTTTTGGTACTCTAAATGCTTCAACTACAAGATTAGTACAAAACACATTTTGTCTCTCCCCAGTTGCTTGAAGGAGAAGATTGGTCCTGAAAACATTGGTCGGAAAGCACCATAGCACCAGACAGGTAAAGTGGTACCAACCAAATTGATGGAGTGATCAAGGTTTCTAAAGAGGAGCAAAATCAATAGAAATTAGAAGGTGACTGGGATTCTTGTTGTATTGATTACCGGTACTAAATTTAATCTTCAAAAAGTTATTTATTGAGATTTTTGGTATTCACAACATGACTTGTTTTTATTTTATTTTAAGGTGACATATGTTTATTTTTAAAGTTAGGTGCTACTTAAGAGATTAGAATATGAGATCTCAAAATTCAAGACTAGTGGTAGTATTACTAAATCAAACTTTTGTTTGCTAAATCATGACATGGTTGCCTTATCCTTCTTGGATCTTACTCAACGAACTACGGCATTCAGGCAAAATGTCATTCCTCTACGTGCAATACACCTAGTCGAGGATACGCCAGTGATAATACCACTAAACCAAACTCTCACCCGCAACAACATGACATGGTTGCCTTATCCTTCTTACATTGGACTTCACTAGCTACAACATTCGGGCAAAATATCATTCCACTTTGTGCAATACACTAGTCGATCTAGTATCGTACTATTCATATTATTAATTCGTCTTCTTGACTTAAGTTTATTTTTTAAAAATTTCAGATTACACATAAATTAGGGCGTGAAAAAGAAAAAAGTTTGTATTTGCACATATTTTACCACATTGGCCCACATGTTTTGGACCATCAATAATTATTTCTTGGCTTAAAAGCCAAGAAACTTGTTTGATGATTACTTGTCTACCATGCAAACCCATCCTTTTTCTAACCTTAATTTGGTCTGCCAACTGATTTCCCCAACCAAAAAGGAAACCACTTTTTTGGTCTCTTGCTTGCCTTGGTACTTACTTGCCTGTCATAATAAAGCCTGCAACAGACACAAATCCTTCTCTTGGCGGAACTTCAAGCCTTTCTCTGTTGTCCATTCTTTGTTGGAAGTCAGGTCTTGTCTGAGGTACACACTGTTTCTTCTCTTGCCAATTGGTCACTAGTAAGATTGTGTTTGTGTTTTTAATTATATCACTTATTATTATTTCTCAGCCTGCTGCAAATTCATCTGGTATACATCTACTGTTATTCTGTCATGTATTGGACAAACACAGGCTTTGACCTTGCTTTGTCAATTTTGGTCATATTGAAGGAAGCCAAATGGTTTCCTCCAATTTCCTTGTGGTCTGCATTTCTTGATCTTCAAAAACACTGGGGTTTGACTCCTTCAGACGGCATGGTACACAAATCCAAGCATTTGGTCGCCAAAATAGTAGTCAAATGAGGATAACCACATTCTTATAGCGTATTGATATCAAAAGCTATCGTTTAAGATTTTACTATTTATTATGTGGATTTTTAGTAATTCTTTCCAATTTTAGGGGCATTATTCGCAAGTATCATTTTCATTCTTTTTTATTTTTTATTTTTCTTACTACTCGTGTTCGCAAATACCATCCACCCTGATTCTAAGCAATTACACTTTTTTTACACTCTTGTTTGTTAATTCCCGGTTTCTTTGCCATATGTATTGCGTGTATTTTGATGATACATTTTCCATTTTATTAGTCATTGTGCTTCTTGTTTATTGGTATGACATAGTTTAAGTTTTACCATTCATTAAGTGATTTTTTTTTTAATTCTTTCAAACTTTAGAGGAATTTGCCATAAATTCTTTCTAAACACCATTCGATCAAAATCCTAAGCAATTACACTTTTTCTAAACTCTTTTTGGCGATTATCCTTCATTTATTTCCAAATTTCTTTGCCAAATATATCATGTGTATTTTGATCGTGCATATTGGAGATTAATTTTCCATTTTATTAGTCATTATGTTTCTTGATTATTGGTATATGAAAGTCATAGTTTAGGTTTACTGATTTTTTTTGTAATTCTTACAAAATTTAATGATGTTGATTCAATAGCTTCATCATGATCTTGTATAGAGGTGGCAATTTCAATCCAATCCACCAATCTAATCCATCAATCCATTAAAAATATCCACCTAATCAAATCCATTTAAATCCAATCCATTTGATCCAAAACAAGGTTGTCAAACCGGTTTATGCCAGTGTGCGGGTTTAGCAAGTGGAATGGTTCAACCGGTGGCACATACCGGTTTGTGCCGGTTTGTTATAAACGCGCTGCTACGGATCGGGAAATCGCCGGAATCGACAAAGCAAGAAAACGAAAGCGAGAATTGAAAGAACACAGACACACGATTTACGTGGTTCACTAACACGATGTGTGTTAGCTAGTCCACGGGCGAGAGAGAGCCAGTTTCACTATATCTGAGGAGATTACAGATTACAGAGGAGTATGAGAAGTATTTATAGTACTTCTCCATGTGGGTCTAAACCTAATCCAATCTAGCAAAGGAAACGGTTACAGACCAGGCCCAGAACGCGAACCCAAATAACATTGAGCCCATACACCGTGGGCCGTTGCCCCTGGACCCCACTCGCTGACCGGGCAGCGAGACCCCCGATTACCAGTCGTAGCGGCTGATAGTCCGATTCAAGTCATATCAACACGGTTCATGCCGGTCAATATTACAAATAAAATTATAAATACTCATATTTAAACATGACATTTAACATCAATAGCTAAACATTTATACTTGAATCCAACAAATAATATCAATATTTAACTTTTATACTCGGAAAATAAATAATAAAATAATTGTTATCAATTAAATTCTCTAAAATAAGGTCATTTTACTTAGAGATTCGTATATCGATCATGCCGGTCATACCGGTAGTGTCACGCCGGTTTTATGACCGATACCGGTTGAACCCGGTACAACCGGTGGCACGCCGACCGGCGTGACAACCATGATCCAAATCCAATTGGATTGGTGGATTCATGGATTGGATCCATGGATCATTGGCAAATTACGGTTTAGTACCTATAATTTTTATTTTTTACATTTTGGTACCTAAAATTTAATTTTTTATACGAAAAATATCATTGGAAAATTACGTTTTGGTACCTAAAATTTTTCATTGTGACATTTTAGTACCTAAACTTTTTATGTTTTACATAATGTCATTTGGATTCATGGATAATCCACCAATCCACTTGATCCAATCCATGAATCCACCAATCCATTAGATCCAATCCATTTAATCCATGGATCCACCAATCCAATCCATTTGCCACCTCTAATCTTGTATGCAAATGAACACTCGTCTTTTTTAACCAATCTTAGGCTATATTCTTTTATTTATTGATTTACATGATTGGAAAATTATATTATGTGAGTATCTGTTTTTTCCTTTTTAAACATATTACTTCCTATTTACAAAGACACGAACCTTAATGAAATAAGAATTGAACACCCCAAGCAAAACACTACCTTTCTACCTAGTACTATGTCTACCCATTTCTAATCCTTATATAAATATCTCAGTCCAAATTAGTTACTAATGGGGTACAACAATGCCTTGTAAACACATTGTTAATGTTTCACATGTCATGTATGTCATATTTGGTCATCGAGATTACTAAATCGTGTCATGTTTAGTCACTAGAAAAATTTAATATCAATTTTGGTCACTCGAATTACTGAAACTGGTACATTTAGTCACTCACCCGTTATTGGAGTTGGACGGAAACTAGCTGGAGAGTGACTAAATGTGACATATTTCAGTACTTCGAGTGACTAAATGTGATATATTTCAATAATTCAAGTGACCGGAGTTGGACAGAGGCTATAGGAGAGTGCCAAATGTGATATGTTTCAGTAATTCGAGTGACCAAAATTGATATTAAAATTTTCTAGTGACTAAACATGACACGATTTAATAATCACAGTGACCAAATATGACATTTACCCGCTTGACATCTCTCTTTGGTCCTTCAATAGTTCAATTCGACTAAATCAAATCAATCACGACCTTATAAGTTACATATCGTGGATGCATCATGAAAAGTAAAAATCACAACAAATATGGGATACACGAGTTGAACTGAGTGGAGAAATGCAGATTTTTTAACATACATTGCATGTTGACTCATTGAGGATATACTTACTAAACATGGTCTCAATTTTCATCGTAGAAAATTCTAATAAAGAATGTAGAAACAGATAAACGCAAATGTCTTTGATAAGAAGACTCGGTTTAGGAACTAGAAATCTTATTATCACTAAGGAATTAAGTGCGAAATTGGTTTATTCATAGGGAAATGAAGCGCAGCCGGGGCACCTTCCTTCCCTATGGCTGATTGTGGGTCTGCGACTATAGCCTTTTCGGGCAACAACTCTGCAAGTTCTAGCAGTCTGTTCATTGGTATTATCAAACACTACTGCAACTAGATATGAATGAACATAAATTGAATATGAAAAACTATAGACCTGACCCTTTAATGGAATCATGTAGTGGTACAGTAAACTAAACACACATCTGAAAGTTTTGTTGCTGAAACAGGAAGAAGAAGAAGAAGGGGGGAAAACTCCATGAATCAATGGCATCTCTAATACCAGGAGTGCTGCTAAAGCTTCTCCAAAGCATCAACTCGAACGTCAGAGTTCGAGGTGAATATCGATCTGTGCTGTTACAAGTTATCAGCATAGTTCCTGCATTGTGTGGCTCAGAGCTCTGGCCCAATCAAGGCTTCTTCATCAAAGTCTCTGACTCCTCTCATTCAACATATGTTTCTTTCTCGAAGGAAGACAACGAGCTTATCTTGAACAACAAGCTACAGCTCGGACAGTTCTTCTATGTTGATAGAGCAGAGGCAGGAACCCCAGTCCCAATCCTAGTTGGCATTAGACCACTCCCTGGAAGAAATCCATTCGTAGGGAACCCAAAAGATTTGATGCAAATGTTGGATGGCCCTCCACCGGTTGAACATGATAAAGGAGTGAATGTTTCAAAATTGAAGAAAGAGGAGAACACGAGACAGAAAATTGTTATCAAAGAGGAGAGAGCTATTGTTGCTTCCAGGTATATGCAGGGTGTTTCAGCAAAGGGCAAGCAGCATGAAAATAAAGGTCAGGTATTGTATTTCTAGCATAACAGTAACAATTAGAAAATGATTCAGAACATAAAAATTGGAACACCTGAATTGAGTTCGATAATTCGCAGGAGCGTTGCAGGAAAGACCAACCTCACCATCCCGGAATAGACCTGAAACACTTCCATCAAATCCTGAAGTACTGGCATCCACCGCCACCACCAAAGAGATTTCAGTATCTTCAAACAGTAAATCTGCAAGAGTTTCATCAAATAAGCAGCAAAATGCAAGCTTGAATTCATCTTCAAGCAACAAACATGAGTATCTATCTTCTGATGCAATATCATGGGCCTCTCTACCAACTAACTTGCTTAAAACTGGAAAGGTAAGCATCCATCTCTATTTTTCTTTCACTTTGTTCGATCTATTAACTTGACATGTTAGGCGTTTCCTTTATAGGTAATGCTAAGGAGGAGATATTTAGCTTCTATGGTTGCAGCAGAAGCACAGAAGGAGGCATCAAATGCTTCGAGTCTCGTCAAGTGCCTCAAGTGTGCATCAACTCTATATTTTCCAACAAGTTCATACCGTCTCTATCCCTCATTTTCTAAGACATGTCCTTTCTTTCAGTTTGTTTGCAGAGCTGTGCTCATCTGCTTCACCAGAGAACCCCCATCTTCCCCTCACAAAGTTCTTCACGCTTCAACAGTTCATTGACCAGCCAAATGTAGCCACAACTCCACTGAAGGATAAGTCATTTCAGACTGTTCCTCCCGAAACAGAGAAAACTAGCAAAAGAATTGGTTCCCTTCATGTGAAAGCCACGGGAAAGTCTATAAAGACTGCATCATCCATGGAGTTCAACGCAGCTGAAAAAATTGAATGGGCCAAAGTAGATGCTGCAAAGGATATTAAAGAACTAAGAGAAACTCTTATACATGAAACAAGAACTTGGTTTCTAAGATTCATGGATGGGGCGTTAGATTCTGGATTCCGCATGCCTGTCCAGGAAAAGAAAGGGAAAGGTGGTGTTGCAGGAAGACTAATGATGGAGGCCGAGAACAACCAGATTGCTGTGACATTGTCACAACTCAAGCATGCAAATGACTGGTTAGACAAACTAAGGAACAACCTGAACATGGAAACCAATGCTCCATTGATCAAGAATATTGATAGTCTGAAGCAAAAGGTATATGCTTGTCTACTAGCTCATGTAGATTCAGCTGCATCAGCTTTGGAGAACCGAGCAGATCGACGCTGATCCAAACAATCACTGGGGTTCCTGGATATCATATGTTATCAGGAGTCAGTCCAAGGTGATTGAAATAAATTATGTTTTAGTAATTATTGTCGATAACCTGGAAAAAGTGAAAATGAAAATTATAGAGCCAAATACAGTTATGAGAAGTTGGCTAATCCTATTCATGTGTTTATGCATAACAATATCAATAAAGATTCCATCTCATGTTCATGTTTTTTGATAGAAAATCAGCGAAGGTCCAATCTTTAATCCGAACAATGCAATTTCAACGTACTTACAGTGAAAGATGTTCAGACTAGAGGATGCTAAGGTTTACTTCTTACATAGTTAGCAGCTTTTGCCTCAGCTGCATCAAGTTGTGAACTTGGCAGTTGCACGATGGAGATCAAAAGTTAGCATCTCTTCTAAACTTTTGTATTCCATTGGTCTCTGTTACTCGCTCCGATTGACATCTCCATCTATCATCCCCCAACTACAGAAAGATTCAATTGCATAAATATTTTCAGAAACTAAACGATTGCATGCACTAGTATAACAAAGACATAATTTGACAATATGTTAAAAACATCACAGATCATCTGGTTCAGGTCGATCCAAAATACAAATAAAACATAAACATTAATATATCATACAAAGTTTACAACGAGACTTAACGAGAGGAAGCCGATTCTGAGCTTGGATCCTTATCGATACAAAAGTCAGACTTGGATTGAACAAGTATTCTATGAATGTGAATGAAAAAGGAATCTCGAGATTTCGACATGATCAAAAGATTCATCTCTGCGTCCATAATCTCATAAATTGACTTGTACATCTCCTAATGTAAGAGTTCAGTTGGCCAGAAGGCTTTTTCAACCCTTGAACTGTTACATCCCATAAGCAAGAATCATTACGTAAAAGAGCACTCAATATCTGCTTCTAGGGGCTAAAACAAACTGAACTGTTTCAGCCATATAAAGTGCCATTCCTAAAGACTGAAGTGCAACAAATTGCATAGTGGAAGCATGCACAATCATTGGAAGACATAAAAAAACATCTGTCACATAACATATTTATCGACTTTTATGCAGTTTTTAAGTTCAAACTTCAATGATAGAATGCACTCCTCCTTATCTATGTCACATTGAGCTTATTGGAAACTGAAGGAAGACATATATCTAGATGTCTACAAGTATTTAGTTAGCACTAACCATTGTCGCCATGCTTACTAATTGAGGTTGACCCTTTGAAGGAATACTGCATCATTTCACATATTGCAGATGTCACATGTCAGTAAGACTGTAAGCAGCTTCTTTCCTCAATCCTATATCATTCATCACATCTCTTAATGCTTCTGCATCTTTCCACCGCCCTACTGCAGCATAAAGTTTTGCCAGCAATATGTAATTTCCAGTATTCTCAGGCTCAAGTTGAAATAAAGATTGTGCAGCCAATTCCCCCAGTTCAACCTTCTGATGTATCACACAAGCTCCAAGGAGTGCACCCCAAACAGCATGGCTAGGTGCACTTGGCATCGTTGTAATAATATCATAGGCTTCTTCTAATCGACCTGCTCGACCAAGCAGATCAATAATACATGTATAGTGATCGACATTCGGACTTCTCCGGGTATCTTCCTGCATCAAGTTGAACAAATAGAGGCCATCATCTACCAATCCCGCATGGCTGCAAGCATGCAACACAGAGGTAAATGTAACTTCATTCGGTTTGATCCCTGAGTCGACCATCTGCCTAAAGAGTGAAACTGCAGTTTCTGCATGTCCATGCATCCCATAACCTGCTATAATTACACTCCATATGTATATATCCTTGACTACCATAGGCAATGCATTAAAGATATGTTGAGCTGATTCCAGGCTACCGCACTTGGAATATATATCTATTAGACAAGTGGCAACTTCAACACGAGAAAGAAACCCCAATCTCGTAATGAAACAATGAACATTTCTTGCAGGCTGTAAATCAGCCAGACTAGCGTATGCAGGTAAGAGGCAGTTCATTGTTGCACCATTCGGTTTCACTCCTTCTGTCAGCATCTCTTTAAACACTCCTATTGCGTCAGCTGGAAGACCATTATGAACACAACCGGAGAGCATAGCATTCCATGGAACTGTTTGTTTTCTTAAACTTCTGCGGAGGACTTCAAAGCTAAGGTTAAGCCGGCTGCATTTCGCATACATGTCAATCAATGACGTTTCTACTTCAACTCTCAAGTCGATATGCTTCCTTAAAGCCCATCCATGGATGCAACGCCCATACATAAAATCCTTCAAACTTGCACAAGAAGAGAGAAGTAAGGCCACGGTCACAAAATTGGGCCTGATTCCTTCAGTTTGCATGACCGAGCAGAAGTTCAATGCAGTTCTCGCCTCACCATTCAGGACATACCCATTAATCATGGTTGTCCAACTTACAATATCCCTCTCAAGCATTTCGTCAAACACCATCCTGGCTTCTTCCATTTTGCCACACTTTGAATACATATCCACTAAAGCATTCAATACTTCCAATTTCCTATCCAACCCTTTCTCCTTCACTAACAAATGTACCAGCTTTCCTACCTCCAATTCCTTTAAATACCCACAAGCTGGCAGTATAGAAACCACAGTGACACCATCTAACTCAACCCGACAACGCATCATTTCATCAAAAATCACCAAAGCAGTGGCAGAACACCCGTTCTTGAAATATCCATTGATCAGAGTATTCCAAGAAACCACAGCCTTCTCATCAAATAAATCAAACACCTTCCTAGCAACAGCCTTTTCCCCACAGTTCATATACATTGCCATCAGCGAGTTTTGCACGAATGAATTAGACTTAAACCCGGAAACCAACGTCAAGGCATGAACCACTCTGCCGAACCAAAGCAACGACAGCTCACCACAAGCCTTGACAACAAATGGGTAAGAATAGGCATCAGGCCAGCAGCTCCCTGAGTGACGCATTTCAACAAACACGTAGAGTACCTCAGTAAAAGACCCATTCTTTGCGTGCCATTTCATAATGTTATTGTATCCGAGCACGCCTCTTGGCGGAATTCCTTCCACCACATGGCTGGAATCCCAGCGCCGCCCATTGGAGAAAGCGCGGGAAGAATGGAGTTGTATGGCTTGTACAATCTGCCGGGTTGGTTTAAAGAGAGCTTGAGATGGGCAACTCATGAAGTGAAACTCTTTTAACTCGAAGAAAGCTGTTCCAATAAGCAGACACACATAGGATTTGAAAAGTCAGAATTGGATAAAGAAAAGTGCTTCCATCATTCGAAGTCTGGCAGCAGAATTTGAGGAGGGCGCAGTACGGTTACGCCGCCAGGACCGAGCTCCTGTGAGAGTACGAAGAAACCGCAGCTTGGAAACTCCGACGTCACGGCTCGTAGTTCGCTCTAACCGCCGGTGAATTCGGAATTTCACCCTTTCCTTTGTGTCTGTTCGGTTGGGCCTCTGAAGTGTCCTTTTTGTCTTTCTATGCTTCAGTCACCTAGGCCCAAGCCCAATTAGTAGGCATTCTATGAGTTTTATGAATTCGCAAGAGATGACGAACGGAAAAATGGCGGGAAGTCCGATTGATCAGTTGAAGGCCAAAACAATAAAAGGACGATCGTCCCTTCAGATTATTCTAAGAAACAAAACCCTAAAAAGATCGAGTCGGCGAATCGTGATCAGTACGCTCGCTTGTGTGATCTTCCATCCACCGGTCGTCAATCGATCCGATGCCGTCGTCTTCCAATTCCACCGCCAGGAAGAAATTTTTTTACCAGGATGATGACGACGATGAATTTCCGTCGTTGCAGTACTACGCCGACAGCCGGTGCAAATGCTGCCGAGAGCTTGACAGCAGGGATATGAAGCCACAGCCCGACGACGACGACTTTATATCGCCCACTGACGATTTTGAGGGCGATGAACTTCTAAAGCTTCACGTCATCCACTACCGGAGGAAGAAGTGGGAGACCGGGGTACGTAACGTAAACTAGGTTTTTCCAATTTGAAATCAATTCTCAATTAGTTCGTTCCTTCATCAATTAATTGAGTATTGTTCTTGTGGATTGATCTACCGAGCAGTGTTGGGACATTGATTGCCCGCCGGATTACGGGGGCATCGGTGGAATAGCTTACCCTGGAAAGCATCTGTACGGAGACGATATGAAGTCGGACAAGCTGCTTAACGACATGGCTAAACACGTCGTCGATACATATAACAAGGAGAAGGTAAGCTACCGATACAGCTCACGCTTAATAATCCTTACCCACCATTGATTTGAACTGAACTAGCTAGCTAGTTAGTTCTCCTGAAATCCCATATGCTTGCTGAGCACTTAGCAACTGTTTGTCTCTACCGTAGTCTTACTAGCTTGATGCAACTTAATCATTGTTCTTATCTTTTTAATTCATCGCTGCTGCAATTTGTTCATGTGGAATGCCCATTAGTAGGCCTGAAACAATTAGCCGGAGGATGTTACTGATTCCAAAACTGGTGGGAAATTCATTCGTATGTATGTATAATAGTAGTATTGTGATTGAGTGGTCTTCCTTATTAATTGTTCTTGTTGCAAATGGTATCCTGCAGGGCGGTAAGTTGGTCTTCGTTGGAGTGCGGAACGTATCCGCAGAGGGTTGTAATTGGAGGAACTTCTACATAACTTTTGGTTGCCGCAATGGAAGTGGTGTGCGTAAAAAGACTAGGATGCGTGTGAAGACTTATAGAGCCGTCGTTACCTGTCGCATTTGGAGCGACAAAAAGGAGAAGAGAATTTTGGTCTTCAGGGACGCCAGTGGGAAAGGTTCGTTCATACAGATGCCTTATTAATTGATCATTAGCACTCAAGTTCTTCGATTATGTTAGCTAACTTCCCCTGTTCTGCTACCGTTGAGTACGTGTTGTTGTTTATGTTATTGCCTTGCTTGCTTTTTTGAAACAGGATAGTACATAACTGCAGATCGAGATTAGATAAGCAGTCTTATGATCATTGTTTGATGTTGGATAGTAAATGTATAACAATGTGTTCCTCAGTTGAATACTCAAAACTCTGTGTTGAATGCCTAAAATGGTTGATCGAATGCTTTGGCCAATAGTTGGCTGCGTTATGCTCATGCCGCGTGTTGTTAACATTTGAGTTTCCATCCCTCTTCTCTTCCCGTGGTTTTGGCTCTGTCTGTTTTGATTTCCTACTGAATGAACATCCCTATACATAGTGTCTTTAATTGATATCCTGATGCAAATTAGAAGCATGGTCTGAGACAGCTGAGTGGAGCATACATAGATATGGCATTGTCCTCTCAATTACCTTTGTGTTCCTTATAATCATTTAGTTTCACGTCTAGTTTAGTACTGTAGTTACTCAAGCATGGTGGGTTCTAGTCTTTTTCTAATAAGCTGTGCAGGTTTTTAAAGATTGGTTGTGTTGTGAGTCGGTCTTAAAAAGGGGTATATCGTTGGTTGACGTGGGTTTTTGTTGAACAACGTCGATCATCATTGTATGTACTAGACCAACTTGTTCTGGTTTCCTGAGTGCTTCGTTGTTGTTGTTGCACTTTCCATGTTGCCTGAGGATTATGGAAATGACATTGTTCTTAATTTGTCACTTAATGGTGGATGTTGTCTTTCTCCTGACAGATTTGCTGCCGCCAGATCGCTTCTACGGGCCTCTCACAACGCCTTTCTATCGTCATCCTGCACTAGCTGGTAGGAAGGATCTCAAAAAGGAATCCGGAGGAGTGGTAGGTAAGAACTCAGATGCTGAAGGTGGTGATAAGGAGGATCTCGAGAAGGAATCCGGAGGAGTGGTAGTTGGGAACTCAGATGCTGAAGATGGAGTTGTTTGTCAGTAGGATTTTCAGAGGATAAGTTTAGTATTAGTTTAACTAGGTCTTTTGTGGAACGATGGAGTTGAAGCCTGCTATATTATCTGTCTACGTTTATCATTAGGATTCCAGAGGGATATTCATGTGGAATGTTGAAGTAGAAACACATGTTAACTATGTTTGCTTATCGATCATCATATGATATTTTACCTCATCCTGGTATGTGTGGATGAAGCCTATGAATGACTTTGTTCTCTATATATCCGGTGAAATGAATGTATCTAATAGTTAAGGTCTTAAGTTCAAATTTCCAGGTCCAGTTTTGTTCTGCAACTGTGGTGTGTGTTCAATCACCCCTCTCCTGAAACTTCTCTGCTCTGTTTGTTCTTGCTCTAGCGCTGTTAAGGGTTTTAGTTGGTGGGTCACTGTTTGCTAACAAGAAAATGGGCTTTTGGGTCAGGATTCAGGAAGCAGGCTCACTGAAAGGCATATCAAAGGCCAGGTTTGTTGGTAGGAATCAGAATAGGGTGGTCCATTCTGTGAGTTGTCATATTCTAAATTTGTCATCTGGTCATACATTAGCCTCTTGATCTGATCTAATGACCAAAAAAAAAAAAAAATCCAAAGCTACTGTCGGTATCTCAATATAAAATACCGAATATCAAATAGCGTCCTAAATTCAATGTCAATTCCAATCTCACAATAAATTTGGTCCCCAATTCCTAAAATGTCATTCGGTATCGGTATATACCAAATACTAGGTTAATTTCTTTCAAAATTATAAAATAAATATACAAACACAAATACTAGTTCCACAAACCATTCTCAAAATATATAAAAATAATGAGTGGTGCTAGCACTCGTCCAAAACAAATGGGAAAAAGTCACAACTATAATAATAACACACTAGAAAAATGCGGTATCTAAGAAACACATTAACAAACTTAAGCTGCAAACTGAAACAAGGGGTGACTAGCAACCATAAACATACTACAAATAACAAGATGAGCTTGGTATAAGTTGTTAAATAGTGAGAGAATGAGCTATGTATAATCAAGTAGGATCATGAACTTCTTGGTTGACATAGAGCGATTATATCACACGACTGCGCTGGCTTTTGTTGACTGTGGTTAAGATATGGGAGTCAAGTAGTCAAAAACATCTCCTCTGGCTCTTTGCTGTCTAATTGCTGAAATAGCTATTCATTCTCCTGCTCTAGTCAATTGAGACTTTGCGTTCAATAATGTAACTAGCACCTACTTGTTGGTTGAGCCATTGGCACTGGTAGGATACAGTCAACAAGTATGTGATGCTTTGATCAAAGTTTTGCAGTTTCAAATTGATGAGGTTTCAGGTAGGGATGGCAATTTACCCACCCATGGGTAATTTTGTCCAAACCCAAGTAGACCCATTTATTATGGGTAGGGTTTGGGTGATGTGTGTATGGGTTTGGGGTTTGTATATGGGTTTGTGTTAGATATGGATATTATCTAAATGGGTATGGGTTGGATATGGATATCCATTTACTTGAGGGTGTCTTAACTACACATGCAAAAATTGGACTTATTTGTAAAACTTGAAAATTTTAGGTATCAAAATGTAAGACCAAAAAAATTTAGGTGCCAAAACGTAATTTTCCATCGATATTTTGAGGACTTATATGCAAAAAAAATTAAATTTAGGTACTAAATATGCATATCTATTAAGTTTAGATACCAAACTGTAATTTGTATTTGGGCATGGGTACAAACCCAAATCCATTTGTTATAAACCCAACCCAACCCAAAGTAAATGGGTATGGGTACAAACCCATCAAACATTACCCATATCCATATATTTGGATTTCATACCCAACCCAATTAGGTTGGATAGTAAAATACCCATGGGTATGGGCATAATTGCCATCCCTAGTTTCAGGCTGGCTGCATAATTGTCACTCATGTACCAATTTTTTAAGCCGCATCCACCTTCGGTCGATCGTAAAGTTTTATCTTTCAAGGCTTCTTCCAAACGTTGTGCAAGAGAATGTCATTTGACTCTCATCGGCATGCTTAATGAGACAAACTTGGTTAGGTTAGGTATCACATCCTTTCCGGCTTCCACTTCTTTGTAAGTTGATCAATTGAGTAGAGCATTATTGCTAACTTGATAAGTTTATAATCAGTAGTTATTGCTTTTTTTTCTTTGTCAGAGGAACAAAAATGGTGTTGAAAGCTAGGGTTCCAGTTAGCTCAATTATGGGCATGAAAAACTGCCCTCCTTTCTCTACGCCTAATTGCCTAAAGACGCTTCTGTGGTTTTCAGGCATCATCTTGGTTGGCTGGAGATATCATATAGAGGAGAGAAATGTCTCTGTATCTACGCATAAAAATTATCACAGGAGACTGACCCTTTGTCACTGTCCATGGATGAATAAATGATACACCCCTTTGGAAATATTTTTTCCCCTAAACTATAGCCATCCAAAAAGTTCTCGTTTGGAAAACTATTGCTCTTTTGGCAGAAATTTCCTATATATTCTCCTCTTGAGTTGTGTTCTTTCGACTTTGTCGGTTGGCTTCATTGATGTAATAGGTTGGGAGGTGTGCTGATAGTTTGTATAGTTTTCTCTTTTGACATTTCTTGGGAAAAAAAAAATTTCCCGTGCGTTCGCCCCGAGAAAATGTCATTTGTTACCCTTAAACGAGCAATTTTTCGATTTTGCCAAACTTTAGAGGATTATAACTTTGTGCTCCGTAATCCAAACATCACAATATTTTTTTTATTTTGCATAATTTTTTGAGTACTACAACATTTACTAGAAATAAATTTTCAAAATAGGAATAACTTTTAATATAAGGGGTTTTGGGAGTAACTTTAACTTTAATTTTCACATTTTCACATATATTCTGAAAATATTTCTATTATAAAAGTTGTAGGCCTCGAAAAGTTATGCGAAATGAAAAAAAAAGTTTGCTACGATCGGATAACCGAGCACAAAGTTAAGGTTGTTGGAAATTTCAAAGGGGTGGTTCGAGTTCAGCCCCACATGGTTCGAGGCTTATATCATCGATCTACGACTAGATCGAGTCTCCTACACTCCAACCGGTTGGTAGTTCGAGTTCCTCGAACTCGAATCACTCCAAACTTAAGTATTTTGGAATTTTTTTTTAAAAGTGTGGTAGTTTAGGAATTTATTTTAGTTTTGTGTGTATTTAGAGAATTAATCCCTTTGTCCTCGTCTAATTGGATATCTATCTATTTATCAATTAGCAGTCAATAAAATTGGTGGACTTGGAACAAAAAGAAAAAAACTAAATGTATTATTGTTGTGTACCTATAAGAACAGTAACTTTTTATAAAGAAATAAGCACAAATGCTAGCAGTGGCCAGAGAGTCAGACTGAGAGAAAGAGAGCGGTTAAAGTGGGAACCAGTCTGATTTCTGATCAGACTTTGGGCCAATGGGAAGAGCGAAGAGATAAGAGTTGGATTTCCAAGTGACGTATTGACCGAGGGACTTCAGGGGTCAATTATTTTTACCATTTTTAGGTTGCTGGCTATTGGGCTAAAGTAAACACATGTGTTATGGAGTTATGGGCTTGGCTGGTGCGGTGTTTGCCTTGGCTGGCTGCACTAAACTAAGAGAGAGAAAGAAAGCAACAAGAGAGTTATGTTGGAATGAATCCAAGGTCTCGCGTCTCTTTTGGTTCCCCTGCTCATCTCCCTTCCCTATCCTTCCAATCTCCCTACCTTTCTGCCAACAGTCTCTCGAAGATCGATATGGAGAAAGCTCTCGGTTCGTTTTGGTTGTGTTCCCATGTTATTCAACCGTCTCTCTGTGTTGCTTCGATCCGTAGAGATGGACAGCCAGGCAATCAAACAACATGGTGTGGTGTCTGTGTTGGGACAACTCGGATCCATCCATCTATGGAAAATGATTGAAGCAATGGATCTCTGTGGTTTGTATTCCAGTTCATTCATCCTCATGCCTTCATAATGTTTTGTTCTTTCTGTTTAACCTTATATTGAAAGGCCTGATTCTCTATTGTTTCGATTAGATCCCAGATACGAGGAAGGTGGATTCATATATCTTCAATGGTTTTTATGCCGTTCTCGTGTTTCTGGGGGATAAAGTTGCTGTCTTTTTTATCCAATCTCCCAAGAACGGTCTCTTATGCCTTTTGGTCAATGATTCAAAGTTGTCCCAGATCTGGATTTGGTTTTCTTTTGACAATCTAATTAAATCTTTCGGGGGAATTCCTTGTTTTGAGAAGGTGTGTTCTTGAAGTCCTTATTGATTTTACAAGGCATGATCACTAGGGTTAAAAAGAATTAGGTCATTGTGTAGAATTAGGGTTTACAATTGGGAAACCATGACAATGAAGAAGATATTACGGGGAATGATCACTAGGGTTAAAAAAGAATTAGGTCTGAATTAGGGTTTACACTTGGTACAGATTTCTTATTAATCAGGTGGGGAAGATTGATAGTCGCATGATAATTTTGTTTTTGTAGATTCTGGCAATCGAGAAGACTCTACTGCCACTCGAAAACTCTGTAGATGCTGAAGTATTTCAAAGGTCTGGGTGTTTATCGCAATCTCTGACAGCTTGTAATAGTCATGGATAAATGGCATAAGCTTGACTGTCAGGCTACGAGCAACCGCAGGAGAGGGTTACCCGAGATTCAAATGGATTTGCTGCATTACCTTCTAGGCTTATCCGCAAACTTCAGGTTGTGTTTCTGCAGACAAGAAATCTTAGGGTTGTGTTTAAGAGATTTGTGGTATATTTGGCAAAGGAAGGCTTTGCATAGTGTTTTGAATTGAAGACTCCAGTTGTGATTTTGAGTCGTCAGGTGTGTTGGATCTATCATTGAACAGGTAAAAGTGGGTCATCTTCAGATGGGAATTTGTTTGAAGGGTCCTGTTTTAGTGTTTATCTCTTTAGGAGTGATGGTTTTAAGCAAGACCAAGTAAGAAAGAAGTTGTGTTGGATCTTCCATTGAACAGGTAAAGACGGGCCATCATCAGATGGGAATTTGTTTAATGGGGTTCTGTTTAAGGGTTGATCTCTGGAGGAGTCATGGTTTTAAGAAGGACCAGCAACGAAGGACCTATCCCTGCAATTCCAGCTTCAATTTGTCTAAGTTTAGACTTGTATGAATAAATTGGTTGGAGGAATGCTTTTTTTATTTCAGTCAAGCTTAGAAGAATCTCAAGCATCTTCTTGCATCTGTGAAGCTTGAGTGTATAATGATCACCATTAAGTTGCTGGATTCTTGGTGTTGCATAGCACCGTGTGAAGGAGTAGAATTATCTTCACCAGCCCTCCATTTAGGCTTTTGGAGGTCCGTAAGTCAAGCTCGTTAGGCCCCGCTGACCCTCCACTCCAGCACATATGCTGCGAGTACATTGCTGCAACATGCATGAGTTAATTGGAAAACTAAGGTTCAGTTTCATACAGCTGCAGAAACAAAACGAGATGTTAAATTCTGAAGCAAGGAAGTTGACCTGTCTTGAGGCGTGGCTTGGCCTGCACGTTCAAAGCATCCCTTGGTTCTATCTCGATCTTGTGGATCTTCCTCAACAGTTGGCAATGCAAACATGGTACCTGAGTCATCATTGGAGGGTAGGTTGGCTTACATTGCTACAGCGAACTGATCGCTATCTGCTGCTTTCAACGTGGATGGGTATGTTTGTCCAATCCATAGGGCTTTGTCAGCGAACTTAGGCTTTGAATAGCAGCAGTGCGTGGCCGAACAAAGGCACCAGTGATAATTCATGAAACAACTTAAAAGGTGACAACATTGTCAAGGGTTTTGTTGGTAGAGATATAGAGAGAGCCACATCATGCATGGTTTGGCTCGGCAGGATGTTTTGTTCTCGTGCGAGTGAAAACTTAAGAGGATTTCAGACTATGAATCTTACAGATTTCCTGTCTGCAAGATGTGATTTTTTCAGCAGCAGAGGTGATGGAGTATGAGCGGACCAGTTTCAAGGCCATATCTCTCCAGTTCCACATACAATTTGATCCATCTAGATTTGTCTAAGAACGAATCAATTGAGACGGGAAATGCTTTTTTCAGTTAAGCACAGAAGAATCTCGAAGGTACAGTCGAAAGGTTTGAGCTATCGAATCAGTAAGCTCGGTCCATTTACTATTGGAAGCACCACTATTGCTACTGCTATATTACTCATGGAGATCCTAAACCACTATGGCTTCTCATTATCATCTACAATGCCAATCTCAGAACTACCAAGGTTTCTACTTGCTAGTTCCTGTATGGATGCTTGTTTGTTCGTGCGAAGCCAACGTGATGGAGAAGTTACTTGTCACTCGATCTTTATACGGAGAAGACCACTAGCCATCAGATGGAAGGAGGCTCACAATAGAAAAGAATCAGGTACTCTTTCTATTTTAGTGCTAAGAACAGAATTTAGTGCTTGATAGGTGAACATTAGAAGCTAGTCTACTGTGGTATGGCTTAGCAAAGATCTGATCAGTAGTTTCTATGTGGTATAAATTCTGCTAACTTGGTTTAAGTGGTTCGAATGATAGAAACACTTTGCTCCATCTTCTTCCTCGAGACAAACTCATCGCTGCCCCCTCTTTTTGCTATTGGTCGCCGATTGGCTCCCTCTGTCTATCTCTCTAAACCCCGTCTCCCGCTGGCGATAGTTTTTCTCTTTTCATATCGCTTCGCCACCGGCGACTCCATTCATATCTCTATCGAAACCCCTTTGTCGACCCCCCAAACTCTCTCTCGTAAGAATCCCGTCCCAGGCGTCGCCGCCCCCTTTCTCCCTGAACCCCATCGCCGGTGCCGCAATGCTCACCCGTCATCGGCGTCTCGAGGGCGGGTTCAAAATTCACGTTTCTCAGTCTTAAAGATCGATTCAGAGTTCTATAAATATTTGAATGGGCGATCTGTTTGATAGCTTGTTATCCAACTCTGTGACTAGTACGAAATACGTGCCCCGTCAATTCAGCACTCTGTTATCCCAACTAAAAAAGAAATACCCAACACAGAAAAGGTTTCGAAATAAATCGATCATTTGCTGGGTCACAAAATTGTTAATAGTATAATATAAATTTTTTGAATGGACAACAGATGTAGGGAGAAGCAGGAAAGACCAATTTATTTTTGGGTTCAAGGAAATAATCGGAGTTGGAGGGTATGATTTTTTTTTTTTTTTTGATGAATAGGTACCTAATCTCTAATGAGTTTTTTATACTCAAACCCTAAGTTCATTTTGATTAAAAATAATTATCGATGGTTCTGGCTCATCAAAATCCATCGAATTGCTTGAGTATACTCTATATCATGCCTCATGTAAAAATGATATCGGTGGTTAATTGTAACACCATAATCATAAAAATTGTTTCATGACAAATTGCAGGTAAATCACTTAGGATTTACTTGTATTTTAAAGATTTAGAGTTCGAGGTTTGGATTAGGTCTTATGGTAACACATGAGTTAGTTATAGTTCTATATCATGCTATAAAATGTCAATCGATAATGAAAAGCTACTTTTAAAGTAAGGTGCATGACATACATGATTTTTTGTGAATACATTGCAGAAGCCACCATGAGAAAATTGTATACAAACCCCAATCCATTTAGGGATATCTTGCACTCTAGTACGAGTTGGGTGGTATATGTTAAGAATGAGACATTTGGAGACAAATGTTTCATGTTTCAAAATATCAGACATTTCGGAATGTCTGCACATTCGAGTAATTTGGAAATAAAATCGTATCGGGAAAAGTTGATGATAGGATATTTTATGCGGAAACCGTGATCAATCGTTTCGTACTGCTAGCATCCTGTATAAAGTTTTTTCTCTGACAGAATCGAGAATCGTCGGTATGATACGATTTTTCAATGTTTGGACAAAAGTCGCTCTTAAATAAAAATGCCTCATTTTCTTCCCTTGTATAAACAAGGCAATTACACAAAATGTGTTATTGTAGAACATTTTGTTCCAATGTCTCATTAAAATACTCCATCTAAACCATGCATATTGAAATTCAGCAAAGAGCTTCAAAGTACCTAAATTGTGCCAGGAAAATTCAGACACTAGTAAATGGTGCAAATATATAGGTGCCGAGACGCCGAGTCCACCCGAACATACTGTTGGTCATTGTCCTGATTAAGCTTGAAATACAACACGCCGCCCTGATTCGCCATTTTCTCAAAGTCGACGCCACTTTCTTGGCGCACTCAACTTCGTTCTCTGAGATTTAAGCTTTTCGCTTCCGTAATTAGGGTTTCGTTTCTCTTTCTCCCTCCTCCTTGTTCCAAATGCTCGGTGGCGGAAAAACGGACGCGGAAATGGAAACTTCGCCTGGCTACTTCCGGCCCGAAGATATCACCATCGGAGAACAGTTTCGTCGCTACGGGTACTCATGCTCATTTTGGATTGTAATTCTAGAACTCAGCAGGCTACAGTTTCCTTTCTGATTTTTCTCCCTTTTGCGCCACGAATCTGAATGTATATAGCCAAATTCATAGAGAAGACTTGTTTTCTTGTGAATCAAACGTAACTCTGGATCGTTTTGTTGATTTGTTGTATGAGAATGAACTGTGATTCTTTTTCTGTTACTGAGCTTCTGTATCATTGTACCGTTGTGATTTTTCTGTGAATACTTGCTGTACAGTACTAATTTGAAGTTCAACTGCTCAAGACTACTGTATGATGGGCCAAGCACACTCAGTGTCACACATGATATTAAACAAGAGGCTGATGGTATGGACTCTGATCACTTTGATGCCACACATGGGAAGATACAAGCTTATGTTAAACTGAGGTTGGTGATGGATGGATTTTCAGAGAGCGATCTCATTATTGATTCAGAACTCCAGACTGGAACTCAACTGCTAAAAGCATGTAAGATGGAGGATGAATATCCAGACAGTCGAGAAAATATGTTTGGGCTATTTGCTTCTCTTTTGGATTGTGCTATTCAAGGTACCTTCCCATTAATTTATGTTCTAATATGTGAAGCTTGGAAATAATGTGCCTTTATTTGTTCTATAGTGGGACAATCTGGGAGAAATTGACAAGATTCAAGAGTGGTAGTTGAAGTCTTGTCTTCTAGAACTATGTTTTGCTTGGGTTGGGATGTGCAGACAAGATTCAATGCGGTGCCCATTCTTATGCTTTTCAGAACACTACGTTGTCTGTCTTTTGGTAATAGAGGTCTGTCTTGTACCACAATGGACTGCTTCATCGAGGAAAAGTTACCTTTGTACCATTGCAGCGCTCTGGTTCTCTTCAACGACAACTTAATTTGCTGTCAATTTGCTTTTAAACGTGACACTGCTTGGAGTTCTTTTAAAGTGGTAGTGTCTTGAAAGGTTGGAGCTCAGACTTCTTAGGTCTCGATAGTTTGTTTGAACTGCTGTTGAATGTAATTGCTTTCCTGTGTGGTTTCATTTAAAGTGGTAGCGTCTTGAAAGGTTGGAGCTCAGATTTTTAAGGTCTCGATAGTTTGTTTATACTGGTGTTGAATGTACTTGCTTTCCTGTGTGGTCTCTGTCAATTGCCTTGAATGTTGTCAATGTTCAAAATGAAGTCGCCTATTTTTCATTGACATGGAAATGAAATCACTAAAATTTTGAAATATGGCACTCTCTTATAAACCAATCTAGCTGTGCTGAGTTCTGTTATTACTTAGTGAATGATGGAAAGGGATGCATTCTTTCTGTGTGCTGCAGGCTTGATGCAAACTCCAGATTTGATTTTGAGTTTTGAGAGATCATGCTGCAGTGTATCAGTAGATACAAGGTGAGTCACTGAAAATGTCGAATAATTGCATGTCTTGACCTTTGTTTGTGTCTTTGTCATGCAGACTCTTGCCCCTCTCTATCTTTTGATTGGAATAAATGAGACCAATGGTTTGGTATTTCGTTCTATGATCAGGTTTCCTTGTCATTGCTTTGTACAGGTCTCAGACAAACATAAGGCATCAGGTTGTAGAGGACAAGTTAATGCTGCAGAAGGTTAAGCTTCTGCTTGACAAGACTGCCACCTGGTCACTTCTTTGGCAACTATGCGGGAAAGGTGAGTTTGTTCTTGTTAAAATAATTTCTGTCTGTAACACTTGTCTTAGAGGGAGAGTTTGATAGAAATCTCGTCACGGTATGTGCATCTTTTCGCCCTGAATGTTTAGTTTAGATGCTTGTATTAATATGGGGACACACAGTGTTATAGTGGCTAGGTGTGGCTCCCAGTAGATGTTGTTTGATCTTGACCTTGTGAATGTTCACTTGGTTGCCAAATGAAGGGAATTTAAAGTCGGAACATACCTGGTCTTTTGTTTCTATGTCTGAAGTAACCTCATGTTTCTTGTCTAGCTTCGTGGCAGTTTTTATGCATCTCTCATGTGCATTTGATTCATCAATTGAATATGATTTTGTGTGATGTGGGTTGTCTGTGGATAATGACATTGAACGTTTCATGTTCACCTTCATTCTAACGGTTGTGCTGCCTCAATCTTGCTATGTGTGCTGTGGATGGTATAATCTGTTCACTTCTTACTGCTGCCGAAGACCCCCCCGAAGACCTACTTGCGGTATGCAATTTTATCTTCCTTTGAACCATCCTGAAAGAGAAAATATTAAGGAATCTTTTCTGAATCCGCTCATCAATTTTGACTACTAGAGCCAATAATCAGAACATTGCTTTGCATCCCTGTTTATAAATTCCCAAAGCTCCCTGTAAACTCATTGAGTCCTTGTTTTGTTTCCAACAATCTCCACCAATGTCACATGTAGAGGCATGCCAGTTGGCTGTAAATGACTGCTCAGCATCAATGTGCCTATGTATCATGGAGTGGCTGGAGGGATTAGCCTCCAAATCCCTTGATCTCGAAAGCAAAATGATTCCTAAGTTTATTGCATTTGCATATTGCGTCTCAGTCAAGCGTCTGTTCCTGTATGTATAACTGCTTTCTTGTTCTTTATCCTTGCCGGGAAAAACATTTCTGACTGAAAACTTGCTGGTAACCATATTGGAAGGTTGTCTTTATCCTGTTAATTAGCTTTTAGGTGATGGTGGTCTAACTGGGGAGAGAAGAAACATTTTTTGCTTCATCCAGAGCATAAATTTTGTTCACCCAAACCCAACTTTGTGTATTTTATCTGCTTCTGACATTTGATTGGAATTTATGTCGAATTCAACCTGAAATGAACATTGATCAACAATCACAGGTACAAGGACTTTGTATGGATACGTGTCTTCTGTTGAAGAAATGTCCATCTGATATAAAAACTGTTCATCCCTTGGATTCTGATGCTCCAACTCTTGAACCTGCTCAACAACTACCAGATGGCCAGGTAGACTGTGTTTGTTCTTGGCTATATGAGGGAATATTATGCCAAAACTCTTTACTATCCATGTACATGTTAATTCTTTCCTAATAATTTATCTGGTTTACTCAATTTGCATATGAATAGTTTAGAAGGTATGTATGTATTTATGTATAATCGCCTCTTTCCTGATTAAGCTAATCCAATGTGCCTAGGATAACTGATTAGATTTGGCTGGTTTGACTTGTTATATTTTATATCTCATTTTAGATTTGGCTGGAGTATTTTGCAGAAAATTGCAGAGCAGAATGGTGGCAAATTTAATGCAGGTGTATATGCAACCCGGTGTAACAACGTAAAGCACATACTTCCAATTTGTGATGTTCATGGTAAGTATATTGTTTCTTAATCATTTTGTATGTATAAGATGTGAGAGTGGTAATGGAAAGAGTATCCTGTAGAAGACTGTTATGCGTGCGTTCTCTTATGATTTTCGGAATGCTAGTTTGTCTCTGTTTTGGTAATGAAAGTAGATTTGGTTCCAGAATGGACTGTTCATCAACGACAAGTTGCCTTTCTACCTTTGCAGTCCTCAGTCCTCTGATCTCACTAAGGACAACTTAATTAGCGGTCCATGTTTTGTTCAATGTGATACTCGTCAGAATACTATTAAAATGTTAGTTCTTTGGAAGGTTGGGGCATTGTTTTTTTTTGCTCTCGAGAGTTTGCTTGAACTGATGTTGAGTATCGATACCAAGTTTCTTTCTGTTACTACTTAGTTACTTGTGTAAAGGGATTTATTTCTCCTATCTTCTGCAGGCTTGATGCCAATACCAGATCTGATTTTGAGATCTGAGATATCATGGCGTAGTGTGTCAAAAGATATAAGGTCAGTGACAATAAATCTGAAACACCTACATGTCTTGACCTTTGTTGTTAGTCTTTGTCGTGGAGACTTACGTTTGAAACTCTACCAGGTTATTCCTTTGTCTTTATGATTGGAATAAGTAAAATAAGCGGTTTGAGAATAAGCTTTGTTTTTTTTTTCCTTGCTATTGCTCGTACAGGTCCCAGTCCAATAAAAGGCGTCGAGTTCTAGAGGACAAATTAATGCAGCAGAAGGTTCAGCTCCTGCTTGAGGAGTCCAGCACCGGGTCACTTATGTGGCATGGGAAAGGTGAGCTTGTCAGTTATGAAAGTATTCTTGTTTTCAACTTCTGTTTTGGGTAAGAGTTTGATAGTTATGTATACTGTCTTCATTTGTGCCTTGAATGTTAGACATTTGGCTTCTGGTATAATGTTACATGGTGTAATTAGTAGCTAGGTGTGCCAAGTATCATGTTTTTTTTTATTTTTGCCAAGATGATGTGAAAACCACTGTTTTAGGATTTGTTTTATGAAAAACTTAAAGGTGCAAACCACTGCTTAAGTATTTTATATAATGCTGTGAAGTAACCTAATGCTTTTAGAAATTTGTCTGGCACAAGAATAAAGTTTTTGAACACTTCATTCCTAAGTTACTGGATCTCTTCTGTTAGTGTGCTCTAATTTGTTCTCATAGATTCGTCTTGAAAATATAAAGAAATCAGTGTAAATGCTCTGTGTTCAGGTCCAGCTGTGCCTCCAAAGATGAAAGGAGGGAAAGATAAAGGTAACAGCAAAGAAGAACCTCCGAAGAAGGGGACAAAAGGAAAGGGTAACAGCAAAGGAGTAGTCCCTTCGAAGAAGAAAGGAGAGGTAGAGGAGAAGCAGAAGGACAAACAACCAGAAGAAGAAGAAGAAGAAAAGGAGTATAGGTCTTTTGACGATCTCAAGGATCTCAACTTACCATACGAACAAGTAGATTGGACTGGAGAGACTGATAAAAAACCACCTAAACAGCAACCACATCTACCTAGATTGATCAAAGACCAAAGGGATAAGTGCAATATCATTACCGAGATCATCACTAGCCCGGTTAGAGATCAGGGGAAAAAAAGTAAGTTATACGATTTTGAATTCCTGATTTTAAGTTGTCTATATTAACTTCTGTTTTTTTTTTTGTTTGAACTTCTAGGGATATGCTGGGCAATATCGGTAGCTTCAGCGGTTGAGGCCGTGATGAACCTTCATCGTGCGGAGGATGATAACACACAATGGATGGCCTCTTCACAAGAGTTAATGGATTGGGTGCAGCTTGATGAGGATAAGGTTGCAAATCGTGGTTTGCAAAGAATGCACGAAGTATGGGATCATGTGTTAAAGAAAAAAGTCTCCAAGGAGGAAAACTATAAGTATGAAGGTATACCTGCTTTGGAAAAGGAACGTCCTGCACGAGGAGAGACAGTTCCAGGAAGAGTGGTGAGTTGATACCGATACTGGAGCTATTTTTTTTGTTGCACTTTTCTTATATTCCGTCTTTTTTGTTGTTGCAAACGATGCAGGTTTTGAGAATATCTGGTTTTGATGTGAAAGAGCCTGTAAAGGAAAGCCTTCTACTTAGACAGCTTGCTAAAATGCCAGTTGTTGCTTCTCTTGAGGCAACTCCATCCTTCCTTGCTTGGAAAGGGGTAAACAGTTTATTTAAATAGGATAACAGTTTATTGTGAGGTTATCGTGGAAAAAAATTAATTATATATGCTTGATTTTTTTGAATAGCGATCCATTTTCAATGGGGAG